ACCACGAGTCACAGACACACCTACCAGCGGAAACAGCTTTTCCCTATCCAGCCTGTCGAAACCTTTCATGATCTTGAAGACCTCTATCAGGTTCCCGCGTAACCTTCTCTGCTCTAATGGGAAAAGTCCTAACTTCTCCACTGTCCTCATAGCTAAGGTTCCCCATTCCTGGTATCATTCTCGTGAATCTCCTCTGCACCCTTTCCAGTGCCTTAATGTCCTTCCTGAAGTAAGGTGCCCAGAACTGGACGCAGTACTCCAGCTGAGGCCTAACCAGTGTTTTGTATAGATTAACCATAACCCCTACTCTTATACTCTATGCCCTACTAATAAAGCTCAGTACACCAAATGCCTTTTTTACTGCCTTATCTGCCTGCCCCACTACCTTTAATGATTTGCTTACTTGAACGCCCAGATCTCTCTATACGTTCACCCCCCTTAAGATTGAGCTACCAAGTCTATATTGCTTCCTATCATTTTTCCTCCCTAAGTGTATCACCTCACACTTATCCACATTGAAATCCATCTGCCACATGTCAGCCCATTCCACCATTCTGTGTATGTCTGCTTGCAGTTGGTTACTGTCCTCCTCACTATTTACTACCCGACCTAACTTTGTATTATCTGCAAACTTGGAAATAGTGCTCTCTATGCCCAAGTCCAGATCATTAATATATATATTAGAAAGAGCAGTGGTCCCAATACCGATCCCTGGGGGACACCGCTGCACACCTTCCATTTAGAGAAACACCCATTAACCACCACCCTCTGCTTTCTGTCACTCAGCCAGTTCTTAATCCAAACTGTCACTGTCCCCTTAATACCGTGGGCCTCTAATTTTTTTATTAATCTCTTATGCGGTACAGTGTCAAAAGCCTTTTTGAAATCCATGTAAATAACGTCCACCGCATTTCCCTCATCAACCTCCACTTAAAACACCCCTTGCACCACCTCCTCAGATTTCACTGCCCTCTTCTTCCTAAACCTCACCCTCCACATCAACTCGCCGACCCACAACCATGGCCACTCCCTCAACCTTGTCATCACACATGGCCTTGACATTTCCGACCTGTATCAAGGACAAGGTCACCTCAGACCACTTCCTCATCTCCCTTTCCTCCCACATCACCCTCTCCTCCCGTATCCCTCTCCCCGCTTCCAAGCCCTCCACCATTTTTTTTACATCCCTGGAAAAAGTTTCCCCTTGAGTCCCTCACAAATGCCCTCTCTTCCTCGGATCTCCTCTCCCTCTGGCCCTCCATCCGCAGCGATCCTGATGCAGCCATCAAGCCACTGAATGACCATCTCTCCACAACCTTTAATTCCCTGGCTTCCCTGAAATCCAGGGCTGTTTCCAACTGTCATCTCCACTTACTCAAAACACAAACCCGGACGCTCGAGCGCAGATGGCAGAAATCCGGTTTCACGATTCATCACCAGCTGTGACTCGAGCACCTCTCCACCTATCGCCTCTTCCTTTCACAGGCCAGAACTGACTTTTACTGGAAAGTAATCCTGGAGGCCAACAACAACCCAAAGATTTTCCACCGTCCATCACCTCCGTGCACCCACTCAAGCCCCTTGTATCCTCACATCAAACGCCAAGTGTGAAGAGGTCCTAGACTTCTTCACCTCAAAGATAGGAAACATCCACTTGGCTGCATCGTCCTCCCCCAACCCCCATGTCACCCTCTCCCCCTACCCCCATATCACCTTCCATCCCACCCAGACCATCCACACTCCCTCCGCTACGGCTCCTGCCACTCCCCCCTCCTTATACTCCTTTGCCCCCATTTCTTCCTCCCTCTCATCTACAATCACCAGGATGATGTTCACCAACTGCTGTCTCGACCCCCTCCCCACACAGCTGTTGGTCACTCATCTCCCCTCCTCTCCCCCCTGCTGGCCGACACAGTCAACCAGTCTCTCTTCTCAGGCTCTGTTCCATTCTCCCTGAAAACTGCTGTCACCAGCCCCCTCCTCAAAACCCCACCCTCAATCCCTCTAAACTCTCACACTGCCGTCCCATCACCAACCAACCCTTCATTGCCAAAGTCCTGGACACATTGTTGCAGGTCAACTTCAGTCACACCTCTTCCTCCATTCCCTCCTTGAGCCCCTGCATTCTGGTTTGTGCCCTGAGTGCCCACAGCACAGACAGCGCTTGTCAAAGTCACAAACGACATCCCCTCCATCTGTCATCAGGGCTCCCTCAGCCTCCCCGTCCCCCTGGATCTCTCTGCCATGTTCAACACAGTTGAACACACCATCCTCCTCCACCACCTCTCCTCGCTCATCTACCTTAGTCGGACCGCACTCGTATGGTTCGAGTCCTACTTAACCAACTGCCTTCATTTCATCTTAGCAAATGGTTTCTCCTCCCACCCTCACCCAGACACCTACGGCGTACCCCAGGGCTCCATCCTTGGCCTCTTCTTTTCCTTATCTATGTGCTCCCTCTGGGTGATGTCATCCGCAGTCACGGGGTAAACTTCCACATGTATGCGGATGACACACAAATCTACATTGCCTCCTCGAGTATCGACTCCAGGTCCCCCCGATGTTCTATCAGCTTGTCTGGCAGACATCAGGCCCTGGATGAGTGTAAACTTCCTGCAGCTGAATGTGGACAAGACGGAAGCCATACTTCTTGGCTCCCGTCAAAGTCTTCACTCCTGCAGATCTGGACTCTCCCTCAGATTCACTGACCCGGTGTGCAATCTAGGCATCCAGGTCGACCCCCAGCTGTCCTTCCTCCCCCACATCCGGTCCCTGACCAGGACCGCCTTCTTTCACCTCTGCCACAATGTCCGTCTCCGACCGTACCTTACAACAGATGCAGTCAAAACCCTCGTGCTTGCGCTTGTCACCTCGGGCCTGGATTCCAACAACGCACTCCTCGCCGGTCTTCACAGCTCCACTATTCACAAGAGCAGCTCATTCAGACTCTGCCGCCCCCATCCTGACCCGGACCAAACTCCGTCCCCACATCTCACCAGTTCTGGCCCAGGCTCCACTGGCTTCCCATCCCCGAACGCATCGACTTCAAGATCCTCGTGTTCAAATCCCTTTACTCTCTGGCACTTCCCCACCTCTCCAACCTCCTCACTCCCAATCCACTACCCGGCGCCTCCGCTCGACTGGCACCGGCCTCCTGCTCGTCCCTCGCACCCTCCGCCCCACCATCGGAGGTCGCGCTTTCAGACAATATGTCCCGAAACTCTGGAATAGTCTCCCTCAATCCCTATGCTTGCTGCCTCTCTCCCCTTTTCAAGTCCAGCCTGAAAACCTTCCTTTTTGACCATGCTTATGGCCACCTCCCACGCCCCCCCCTGGCTTGGAGTCAGGATCCGCCACTGTTAAGCGCTCTGAGACCCTACCCTGCGTGAAGGGCACTATATAAGTGCAAGTTGTTGTACGTTGTTGCTAAAAAAGAATGCAATGCATAAAGTTTGGCTGAAGGTAAGTTAGTGGGGCAAAGTAGAGGGTCTAGTGGTCTATGTGGAGTCCTGTAGCTCAGTGGTTAGAGCACTCGCTTTGCAAGTGAGAGACCTGAGTTCAATTCCAGAGGGCGAAACCTTGGGCAAGTTTCCTTACTCCACACAGAGCCTAATAATAATCCCTCCAAAACCAAAAACAATAAATTGGTCATTTTCAATCTACGACTGTTTGTGGGACATTGCTGTGCGCAATTGGCTGCCGCGTTCGCCCACAAATTTACAGTCAATTCACTTTACAGTGTGTTCTATGAAGCGCTTTGGGACGTCCTCCCGACGTGAAAAGCGCTATATCAAATGCAAGGATTATTATTATTATTTATTATAGTTGAGGTCTATAATCATAGAATTATACAGCACAGAAGGCGGCCATTCAGCTCATCGTGACTTTGCCAGCTCTTTTAAAAGGGCTATCCAAATCAATCCCACTCCCCCGCGCTCTCCCCACCTATAGCCTTGTAAACTTGTCCTCCCCAAATAATTATCTGCTTCTCTCTTAAAAGTTGTTATCAAATCCGTTTCCATCAGCCTTTCAGGCAATGCATTCCATATCCGAAGAACTTGCTGTGTGAAAAGATTTCTCCTCACCTCCCCTCTGTTTCTTTTAACAACTATTTTAAATCGGTGTCCTCGGGTTACTGACCCACCCACCAGTGGAAATTACTCCTTGTTCACCCTATCGAATCCCCTCATCATTTTGAAAACTTCTATTAAGTCTCCTCTCAGCCTTCTCTGCTCCAAGAAGAATAATCCCGGCTTCTCTCGCCTCTCCTGATAACTGAAGTCCCTCATTCCTGGTACCATCCTGGTCAATCTCCTTTGCAACCTCTCCAATGCCTTGACATTCTTCCTCAAGTCTGGTGCCCAGAACTGAACACAGTCTCTCACTGAGGCCTAACCAGCGATTTGTAAAGGTTCATCATAACTTCCTGACTTTAGTATTCTATGCTCCTGTTTATAAAGCCTAATATCCCGTATGCTTTTTTAACAGCTTTATCTACTTGTCCTGCCACCTTCAAAGATTTACTTATATGAACTCCCAGGTCTCTCTGTTCCTTCACCCCTGTAAGATTCTACCATCAGCTTATATTGTCTCTCCTCATTCTTCCTCCCAAAATGCACAACATTAAACTTCACCTGTCCATTTGCAATCTGCTTCTATTTAGTACTTTTCCTAGCTTAATAGCATCTGCAAACTTGGAGATTGTCCTCCCTATACCCAAGTCCAGGTCATTTATATAGATCAATAACAGCAGTGGCCCCAATACCGCCCCCTGGGGGACACCACTGCACATTCCGCTCCAGTCAGAAAAACAACTGTTCACCACCATTCTCTGCTTTCTGTCTCCCAGCCCGTTCTGTATCGATGCTGCCATTGTCCCCTTAATACCGTGGGCTTCTGTTTTGTTTACAAGACTCTTATGTGGCACTTTATCAAGCGCCTTTTGAAAATCCATATAAACTACATCAACTGCACTACCTTCATCATCCTCTCTGTTACTTCATCAAAAAGCTCTTATCAGGTTTGTTGGACATGATTTGCCTTTAACAAACCCATGTTGGCTGTCCTTTATTAACCCATATTTTTCTAAGTGAGAATTTATTTTTTTCCGAATTATCATCTCCAGAAGTTTCCCCAGTACTGACGTGAGGCTGACTGGCCTATAGATCCCAGGTTTATCCTTCTGCCCTTTTTTTGTACAGGGGAGTAACATTTGCAATCCTCCAGTCCTCTGGCACTACTACGGTATCCAAGGAGGCAATATAGTATATAGCCTCTCTGCCCCCACCCTTTGGAACTCCATGCCACAATCACTTAGCCTCACTCCCTCCCTTGCCTCCTTCAAGGCACGACTCAAGACCCTCCTTTTCGACAGTGCCTTCATCCACCCTCCTGCCTCTTCCCACTGACTCACCCACCCCAACCCTGCACCCCCACCACTCTCATAGGAACATACGAACAGGAGGAGGCCATTCAGCCCTTCGAGCCTGTTCTGCCATTTAATTAGATCGTGGCTGATCTGTACCTCAACTAATCCTTTCAATTCCAATTTCCCGCTTTCTCCCCATAACCCTTAATGGCCTGACCTACCAACAATCTATCAACCTCACTCTTGAAGATGTGGATGGATTCAGCACCCACGGCGTTTTGGGGGAGAGAATTCCAGATTTTTACCACCCTTTGAGTGAAAAAAGGCTTCTTGATTTCACTTTTAAATGGCCTGGTTCTATTTTTAAGACTATCCCTCCTTGTTTTAGATCCCTCCACCAGAGGAAATAGCTTCTCTGTATCCTGATCCAGTCCTGATCCCGAATGTTCAGCACTTTACAAATATAATTTTGTTGTTGTTGTATTCCCAATTTTAAAAAAAAATTAGTTCCTCTTTTCATACCAACTATTTTACAAATCTGCAGGTGTGCCTTGCAGCAAACTGCTGCTCAGTTCAAACCATTTCGAAAAACACTGAACCAAAAGTTGACATTCATGGCCACGCACAAACCCGCAGACAAACCGTACACAAACCGTATACAAACTGCACACGAACACATTCAAATCGCACACTAATACACAAATGCATTCCCACAAAGGGGAAAGATAGGGCATCCAAACTTCCCTGGATAAATAAGGAAATTGGGATTAAAATAAAACAAAAAAAGGAGGCTTATGATAAATGTCAGGTCCAAAATCAGAAGATAATCAAATAGAATATAGAAAGTACAGAGGAGAACTGAAAACGGAAATAAGAGGGGCAAAGAGATTGTATGAGAAAAGAATAGCGGGTAACGTAAAAGGGAGCACTAAGGTATATTATAAGCATATAAAGAATAAAAGGTTAATCAAAAGTAGGGTGGATCCACTTGGGGACCAAAGAGGAAATCTTCTTGTGTAGACAGAGGGCACGGCTGACGTATTGAATGAGTACTTTGCATCTGTCTTCACAAAAGAAGAGGATGCAGCTAATACCACAGTATCAGAGGATAGAGAAATTGGATAAGATAAGAATAAACCGAGAGGAGGTACTAAAAAGGTTGTCGGTGCTCAAGATAGATAAGTCACCTGGTCCAGACGGGATGCATCCTAGGTTACTGAGGGAAGTAAGGGTGGAAATAATGGAGGCTCTGTCTACAATCTTTCAATCCTCCTTAGATACCGGGGTGGTGCCAGAGGACTAGAGGGTTGCAAATGTTACTCCCCTGTACAAAAAGGGGCAGTAGGATAAACCCGGGATCTATAGGCCAGTCAGCCTCACGTCCTGCCTCCCACCCCTAGCTCGGATGCCCTGTGGCGGTGTCGAGCGCTTTCTGACGTGAAAAAGGTGCTGTATGAATGCTATGTTTCTGGAAGGGAAACAAACAATATTGCTTATGCAGCCCGCGGACCGTTCTCAAATGGGGTATTAGGTCTGTTACTGCCAGAAGGTTGGAACCCCCTGGTCTAAATTATATTTTAAAAATTCTAACATTAAGACAAAACACTCCTAGATTCAATTTGAGAAATGTACTTACTGGTATAGTATAACTTCAAAAAACTTCACCACACAATACTTTATACTTAAGTTTAAACAGATGTTGTAAATGATGCTTGTGTCATGGCCAAATCTAACAATTAATGGCCAAATGTAACAATTGTCAGCTTCTGGTGTCACAATCACTGGCAATACAGCATTATGCGGCCCGAGAACCTTTCTCAAATAGGGCATCCAGCCCTCAGCAACCCAAAGGTTGGACTACTCTAGAGTAAGTGATACAGATTGCAACCATTCCAGTCAAACACTTTATGTCCATAAATGACCACTTTATGCAGCAGGTTAAGATGTGACTTTCCTCAGTAAGGTGAGAATGCCATATTCCAGGTTTCTTGAAGAATAAAAATAGCCACTACATTGATTCAAAGCAACGTCTGAATATTACTTTGGACATGGAATTGCACTATACCCCGAATATCTCATTGATGTTGTTAAATCAAGAGTGTCAGTCAATAATATTAGGTTTTTAAACCATGTTGCTAAAATGAGGGGAATAAGTTATTAATTAATGTATTTCTCTTCCTTCCATAGATTGTAAAGCAACAAATCATGAATGTGGGCACTGCTCACAGCGAAGTCAATCCAAACACCCGAGTTATGAATAGTCGGGGGATTTGGCTATCCTACATCCTGGGGATAGGCTTGCTTCATATCATTCTCTTGAGTATCCCCTTTTTCAGTGTGCCGGTGGTATGGACGCTTACTAACATTATTCATAATATGGTAAGGCAGATTGAAATGTACAAATATAAGATGTGGCAGTGCCCTAACTGGATGCATACTAATCAAAGACGGATGCAATAGTAAGCTCATAGCATTTATCATAGGTAAAGATTAATAAACTCCTGTTGTATTAGAAACCTTTTGAACCCAAACCATGCATCCTAGAGATAAATAAAACATTGCTCTGTCAACATGCTAGTATTTGTTGAAAATTGACTTCAGAAAATGGTCCATTGTTAAGCTTGGTTATACTTGTCTCCTTCTGCTTCAGGGAATGTACATATTTCTGCACACTGTAAAGGGAACTCCATTTGAAACTCCAGACCAAGGAAAGGCCAGGCTGCTGACACACTGGGAACAGATGGATTATGGAGTGCAGTTTACTGCCTCTCGCAAATTTCTCACCATCACACCTATTATCCTGTGAGTCTTGTGAATTATCAAAGAATTAATCAGTCTGAAGATATAATGACCAACCCAATTTCTGAAAATATATAATAATAATAGTAATCCTTGCATTTGATATAGCGTCTTATCACATTGTTGAGATGTCTCAAAGCGCTTCACAAAATATATTGCAGACTATAGTTTGTGGAAGAAACACAGCAACCAATTGCAACACAGCAGTATCCCACAAACAGTTAAGGATTGAGTGAGCGGCCCAATTTCTTTTCTTGGGGTGGGAGAGGGATTATTACCCTCAGTTGTGGATTGAGTGACCAGAGTTTTTTTCTGAAGGATTATTCGCCCTGGAAAGCGCTCCACTGATCGACTAATAACTGGGTTCCTACTTACTGTACGCTCGGTAAACAGAGGAGTGTGTGTGGAGTAAGGAAACTTGCCTAAGGTTGCCATATTTTGTATCCAATTGTGTTCCTGTATTTTAGAGGCAACAGTGGGCCCAATGCTTCGGTGAATAACATGGATTGTGTGGTGTGACCTGAGTGAAACCCTCTCTAAATTATTTATGAGGTTAGGCTCTTGTCTAACCTAATAAATAAAATAGGAGTGCCATCCCCCCTCTCTCCCCTCTGCGCTGTCTCTAGTCTCCTCCAGACTGACTATGCCCCGCTGATCCCTTTGCTAACGGGCTTGGCGTGGACATTTTGGCTGCCGATCCGAGCTACGCCCTCCCAAAATACCCCCGCGTCCACTTCCCACTCTTTACTGCTTGCATTCGATTCTTCTCTACTACCTCCCTCCTCAACTTCTCTCCCTCCTGGAGCCCACTGTAGCTTCCCTCTGCTCAAGTCATCAGGCTCATCGTGGCTTTCGGCAATGGTTATCCAGAGCAGCAATCCCGATTGCCTCATTGCCCACTCTCTTTGCAATGTCCGCCTCCCACTTCCCTCATGCACACCCTTCCCAACTCTCTATATTTATACATAAAATAAATCAGAACAATGACATTCTTAATACTTATCACTTCTCCTTCTTGAACTGTCAAAGTGTTTACCTGTTGACCCTGTCACCGCACGCCCTACCACACCCGATGCATACAAAACCCACTCGGTTGCCAATGACCCTGTCCTCTGTGCAGGTATTGGCCGCTGTTGTGAAGTAGACGATTGATTGGGTTGTCCATTCATCTCCTCCCAAGACGGTCAAGCTGAAATTGAATGTGAAGACCGGCTTTGTGGGTGGGAGGATACTAATAATAATACTTGCATTTGATATTGCGCTTTTCACGTCTTCTCGACGTCTCAAAGCGCTTCACAGAATATACTGTAAAGTGAATTGACTGTATATTTGTGGGCGAACGCGGCAGCCAATTGCGCACAGCAATGTCCCACAAACAGTCGTGGATTGAAAATGACCAATTTATTATTGTTTTGTTTTTGGGGGGATTATTATTAGGCTCTGTGTGGAGTAAGGAAACTTGCCCAAGGTTTTGCCCTCTACCTGGAATTGAACTCAGGTCTCTCACTTGCAAAGCGAGTGCTCTACCACTGAGCTACAGGACTCCACAAGCGAAGTATAAGTCGTCCCAGAAGAAGTCGCTGGAAGGAAAGCGACCTCCATAGGGTGTAACAAGCCATTGTCAGTATCTGTAGGAACTAAATCACAACGTGAAATCTCCCGTTTCTTTAAACACTTTAGTTGGTTAATATGATTGCAGTAAAATTGGTTACCATCATGTGAAGTGGGAATAGAAATTTGATCTATTTGTGTTACTGCCTCAAAATACTTGCCCGACTGGCTTTAGTAGGGATTCAATTGTAGTTTGGACATGATCATTAGCTGCAAAAACAGTTTCACTTTATGTGGAAACAAAAAGGTTAACTCTCTCTGAGCAGCCTGTGCTGGTCAGCATGAAGCAGTGAGTGTTTGTTTGTTTCTACAAACCAGAATGCGAGCAGTTAATGAATTTAAACTGCTCATAGTCAGTGGCTACAGTCAGTGATGTTCAAAGTTGCCGTGCTGTACAATTTTTTTTGTCTCTTGTCTTTTTTCGATGAATCCATCCTCTCTCTCTCAACTTTTGTTAATCTGTTTATTTGAGAGAACAGAATTTTGACCTTTCTGGACTCCTCACAAGTATCAAGCAGATTAAACTGTTTGAGGGCTTTCAGATTAGCCAATAAGTCATCTCCCTGTTTGGTCGAAGGCATATCGTTGAGACACAAGGATCTATACATTGCTCAATCAGTTGTCTCATTGCTTTTAACTCCTTCTGTATTCTTTCAAATTCAAAAGTAACCATTTGTCCCAATCTTTCTTCCAAATTTGACTCTAGTACCTTTCTTAGTTTCACCTTTACAATCCTTCGGTATTGGTGGTTTTGTCACTGGATTTGAGTTTATCCGTTTACCTTTGCCAGTTCTTTTTCCTGCAGAATTCATTTGTCCTGTTTTGTCTTTTAAACTTTGCAGTGAACGCTTGCTCTGCACTTTTTCAATTTTTTCCTCCACTAAGGCTGCTACCTGTGCTCTAAGTCTGTCCACTTCTTCATCTTTCTCATGTTTAATTCTATCAATTTCTTTTCTTGCTTCATCTCATTCTGAGTTAAGCTTCTCAGGTTCATGTTTAGCTCATCCTAACATCTCTCTTTTACATTTAAGTTGTTCCTCCAACTGCAGCACCTTTTTGTGACACTGTATATTCCTTGGTCATAGCTGCCTGTGTTTTTATAGAACTTTTAAGGGTAAGGAACTGGAGGTTTTACTGATTTGTGGACCACCTCCAGTCGCCTGCTGGAGGGTTAATAATAGCGGACACGGGGCGGGGGAATTTACTTAAGCCACTTGGCAAATCTAGCCGCCCCCTGTAATTTGTCTGGTAGCAGCAAGTGCCCCCATTTTCTACACAACATCTTGAAGTTGATCTATGTGGGAGGTCCTCCTGACGTGAAAGGCGCTCAATAAATGGAATCTTGTTGTTGTTGTTGTTGTTGTATGTGAGCCTGCAACTGTTCTGTCGATTGGTTACCACCCTGTGTCCAACTCGGACCTTCTTTTGCCCAATGCCCATTCTGGCTACAAGTAAAACATTGACCTCCTTCAGGTTGTTGATTCCCCCTGAATTATACCCGACATCTTGATTGCATCCACCGGTTCTTAGAGCATAATAACCTTGGCCTCCGTCGCGATTGTTATGTCCATACGATCTCTTGTTTTTGTATGTGTTAATCATACTGTCAAGAAAATGTTGTTGTTGTTGTTGATCGTCCTGATTATTGACCTGCAATGGCGCGGGGCAGTCCCTAGCCCAGTGTCCCATCTGACCACAGCGATAGCAAGTAGAGGCAGCTTCTCCAATAGGGCAAGGGGGAAAGCAACCCTGGGGTCCAGCGCGGGGAAAGGAATTCCGATTATTAACATTGTAATTACCGCTTCCTCTCCTTTGGAAAGTATTTGGAAGGTAGTTGGGGCAATGTTGCGCCCTTCACCCTCCACTACGGATACTGAACCCTCTTTAGGAGCTCCGATTTGCTTCTCGTACACCTAGCCCGACTTTTCTAGTATATATTCCCAAGGGCTGCGCTTATCGAGCATTACTCCCAGCGCGTTTGACACTGTCGGTAAGAGCATTTGAGAAACGCGTCCTTATAAACTGCTGAAGCTTCAACTTGTTCTCGATCTGGGTTCGCCTCTTGTGACATGATATACATCTGCACTAAGCGCTCATGAAAGGCCTCGGGGGTCTCATCTTTCTTCTGTATCGCAATACTGTGTTCGCAGACGCATCCCAGGTAGTTCCCATCCCTCGCACTTTTTGCACAGTACCTAGAAATTTTTCGGCATCAACTGTATGGTCAAAAGAGGTGCCAGGGAGCTTTGTTTTCAAGCTAGTGCTAAGGGCGGTAATTAATACCCTTTTAATGTCCTCGTCTTCCAATTCGTGATGGCATGCGATTTGTAATTTAACTCAACGGGCTAAATCTAACAGACAAGTGTGCTCTGTAACCCATCTCATCTCCTTAGCTAATGCAGTGCTTTCATCGATGACAAGCATTTACTCTTGTAATGTACCGAAGGTGCCGGACCTCTTGCCCTGGTCCAACGTGCTGCCCGAGTTGTGGAGATGACGTTAGTTTGCGCTTCTGGGTAGTCTTGGGGCCCATCTTCTGTATAAGTTAGTTCCAACGGGGGCCATTGGGTGTTTATTTCGTTCCCCATGACTGCACAAACCACCGCCTGTTTATTCCACAATTTAGTTTGTAGGTTGATTATCTCCGCCTGGCATTGACGGTGATCTACTGTTTGAGATCCAACTTTATTAAGATGTTCTCGTAATGCCCCCAGTCCATCTTCTAGTGCGTTATTCAATTGGTCAATTTCTACCTGAGCTTGTTCCAATAGTTCTCGCCTTTTCTTATGCTTTTTCTTATCAGCGATTGCAAGGTTAACTGTCCCTAATTGCCCATCTATTATACACCCTAAGTCGGGGACCTTTTCCTCAAGTTGCTGGATTTGTCTACACTTTCCCGATACAATTCCACCTTTCTATTGGTAGATTCTTGTTGAAGCACAACATTTTCAGCTCTGACCTTCTTTAATTCGCCTTTCAGTCTTTCCGTAATCTGAGCTCTTGCCCAGAATATATATTTAGTAAATGTTCTACACTTGTGCCCTGCTGTTTTCAGTTGTCCGTGCATAATCTTTTCCTCTAGCCAATCTGTTTGAAGTATGTCTGCATCAATGTCCAGACTAGATCTGAACACGGCAGCGACTTGCCCAGCCTTCGAGCAGATTTTCCGCTCGTATTTGTCTAACCATTGTTTAAACTCGTCCCTGAGTTTCTGTGCCTTTTCCATTTTTTTTGAACTCTTACCCGATACCCCCGTTTACAGCTCCCAATCCTTTCACGTCTATTCCTAAGGTCCCTTTAGGATGAGCTATTTTGTACATGTGGTATGGCTGTAAGTATATCAGACGGTATTCCTTTGTATGTGTTGTGTCATTAGCTCACCGTTTTATTTCATGTACAATATTCACCATTTGTTGGGTCCCTTTGTGGTCGCCAATTTGTTGGGATATACCGATCCCGAGAGTTCAAATGATGACCCAACAATCCTCAAAAGAGGTATGGTGTTTACTGATTAAGAATTAAAGAAAGATAGACATGACGATACAATTAAAACATACTACCCAATTCTAGTAGCTGTGGCGGACGATTCTTAAGTTGCTAGAGACTCAAGTCTGGGCACTTCCCTCCTGTTCTGCTCCTCTTACTCTGACAAAACACCAGTTATACTCTTCCTTCCTTGACCCCTTGCCCTGGTCTGAGTAGATAACATTCTCCAGACCTCAGCAACCCCGTTGACCTGTCCCGGGTGATCAGTTGCCAACAGGACAAATGTTACTAGTAATCTTGTTAATTTTTGGTTCTGACCTGATCACATTATGTTAAATACATAATGTTTCCATCAACACATTCTTGGAGGCTTCTGATGGGAAAAAGTTATTGCCGTTATCTCTCTGTATTAGTCTGGAGATCTACCCTTTCCTTCAACTGTTCATATGGTCTCATCTTTCAGTAATGTGTATGTGCCCAGTACCTCGTTCCCCCAGCCTTCTCCAATACATTCTTATTCAGCCAATCCTCATTCAGGTCCTCCATTTTGTATGTATCTCGAGTATCCAACATTATTATTGTCAGGTTCGATCCCCAGCTGTCCTTTCCACATTCGGTCTCTGACTAGGACTGCTTTCCTCCACCTCTGTCACATTGGCCACCTCCGACTGTACCTCATGGCCATCACAGCCGAAACCCTCATCCATGTTCTGGTCACCTCCTGCCTTGTGTATTCCAATGCCCTCTTCAACAGTCTCCCTAGTTCCACTATCTACAGAATCCAACTATAGTGGAAGCCTATTAAGCCGGACACGTCAGGGACAGCCGTTTGGTCCAGCTTTAGAGTCATCCGCGGTTAGACGATTTACCATTCCCACCCAGCAGAGGAGCCCCACTGTCGTTGTATAATAACATATAGTATGTAATAATGTTGTTTCACTTAAAGCAATGTTAACAGGACACCCAAGTATTTTAACTTAGCAATTCAAGTTAAAATCCTGTACTCTCATGAAATTCAGATAAATATATTTACTGTGTTTGGCTGCGAAATACCAGCAGAGGAGCTTCCTCCCTCCCATTGCCATTCCCATTGGACGGGAAGGGGACTAATTAGCAGCAGCACTGATGTGATTGACAGCCTTAGAGACGTTTGTGAATGTTTGGGAACTCCAGCCAATCCCAAGCGTCTCCCGCTGGCAATCAACCGCGATTTCCCCCCTTTGTTCTTCCCCATTCTTCCGCCCCCCCTCACTGATTGACAGCCCAACTCCAGTCACTTGTGAATGGCTGGAGTCCACTGTCAATCAATCTTAGACTCCTCCCATCTCCATCTTGGACCCGCTCATGGCTGAATGGAACCACTCGACACACAGAAGGCGTGAGTATATTCAGTGGCGACCAGCACTGCATTTTTCCCAGATTGACCAGATTTTTGTCCGAATCACCTGACATATTTAAAACGGGGTTCACTGGCTCCCAATCATAGAACGGATCAAATTCAAAATCTTCACACTCTTCTACAAATTCCCTCATGCCCTACTACCTCCCTATCTCGCCGATCTATTTATTCCCCATCATCTCCCTCCGATCGACTGGCTCAGGTCTCCTGCTTGTCCCTTGGGCCCTCTCCTTCACCATCAGCAGCATACTTTCAGCCACGACCCAAAACTTTGGAACTCTTTCCCTCAATTCCTCTGTCCTATTGTTCCCCATTTTCAGATCACACTTGAAGACCTTCCTCTTTGACCTTGCCTATGGTCACCTCCCACTGGCTCAGGGTCAGGCTCCACTATTACGCGATGCGGGACACTTCCCTGCGCGAAGGGTGCTTTTATGAACGCAAGTTGTTGTTGTTGAGTCAGTACTGACCAGGAAGATTCTAGGTTTAACTTTGAATTTTCAGTTGGACAGCATTAAATTTGCAATTGGATGTTCTTACTCTTAGTAGCTATTCAGTGAGGCTCTGCTGTAAATGAAAATCAGGATGCTTGGTGAGGTTTCCATCAGTAGTAGTTGACTATGATTTAATCCAACATCAAATAGCAGCTTAGGTAATGAAGATCCAAAGGACCACTGCCAACCATGGGACCCCAACATGGGTCATTGCCCTAAGGAACCCTGTCGCCCTGTATTCAAAAACTGGTTGCGTTTTAGGAAAGAACTACAGAAGAGGAAATAGGAAACTAATGTGGGCAAAGAGGGAGGTAATATTTGTGATTTGGAGAAATAAGTACAGTTAAAACAGGATAGAGAGGAATATAAAAGTAAAGGCTAAATTGATCAATTGACTAAAATGGAAAATGAGATTAAAATTGCAGGGAACATAAAAAATGTAAAAAGCTTTTATAAATATGTGGGAAATGATGGGAGCCTTCCTGAAGGATCCCAAAACGAAAATGATTTATCTCTGTTTTTTAAAAAAAAGTTTAGTTAAACTACAGTGGAATGTTTTTCCTCGTTCAGTCTATGCCCGATAGTTTTAAATCATTGCTACAAAATTTAAAATGTTAATTTGAGTCATCTTGAAAATATAAGCAAATAATCTTTGCACTTCTAAAATATACTGCAAGTTTGTAGTCTGGGGTTTGTTGTGAGAAGGTTAGTTTCCTTTAAGGAGATTTTAATTTTTCAATTTTTTTTTAAAAACAGGTATTTTCTTACCAGCTTTTACACAAAATATGATAAATTGCATTTTGTTATAAATACAATTTCTCTGATGAGCGTTCTCATTCCAAAACTGCCCCAACTTCACGGAGTCAGAATCTTTGGAATCAACAAGTACTGAAGATGAACAAGAGAGTGCGTGTCGGAGAGGAAATCCTATTGCAGCAACAGCAGCAGTAATGATGCATCATCTCATTCATATTTTAGTATATGTAAATTTTATGGGTTCAAACTGTTTTGTGAGCTCTTTATTGTGATTGGTGAATGAAGCAGCTCATCCAATCGCTCAGATATAGCATTAAATATTTGAGGCGTTCAGAGTAGAAAGGCTACTTTTTTGATTACTGCCTGTAGAACCTATTGGATAAATATATTGACCTGCCATATTGAATTTTGGAGACCCTAGAAATGGGCGCAATTAGTTGATGGTACGACATGATATTTCGGCATCTTTGGGATAAAGCAATGATTTGTGGATAATAAAGTGAGTGAAGATTCAAGGTTCTGAATTTTAAAGATGTTACAATTATTTCCATTGTTGCAATGAAAGTGCCCCAGAGACTCCAATATAAAAATATTTATTTTCAGACTACAATACGAGAAGCTTTTCTGTATTACCGCATTAAATGCAAGGATTATTATTATTAAGGTACTCTACAACATGATATATTATTGTTTTTGAAGAAACAGTACTGAGTCTTTATTGTGCATTTTAACTGCTTTATTTTGCAGATTTTTTATTTCCTATTGGATTTTATACGTTAAGTGCTGTGTGTGAGAAATTTTACTTGCGAGACTGTAAAACGCTAAGAAAGCAGTGTACTGAAGCACAGATCAAGAATGCTTTGTAATTTTGGATTTTAAAGGAATTAAATATGTTGATTGTTCAACACAATTCAACCCATGTGTTGCCTGAGGGAAGTGATCAAGGCTTGAAATTTAAATTTGCCCATCATAGCAATTATTTGTAGGGAATCTCACAATGTGATTTTTAAATATAAATATTAATTTTAAAATCAGGATATTGTTTCCATATTGCAGAATACCATTATCAATCATGCAATTTTCCTGCAAATTTGCCACGTTGCCTTGATAAACCAAACCTCACTATGGTTGTCTATACTGGTTTTGTCAATCTATTGTAAAAGTATTATTGTGATAAGGGGAACTAGGATTCTCGTTTGTTTAACTGGATGGTAGTGAATTTCCTAACTTATTTTGCTTTAGTAACATTCTTGATGGCACACTTGATGTTCAAACTCAGGCATTTAGTCTTGCCTCCAGGCTCCTGGGATTAGAACCATACAAATTCCCGGCACAGAAGAAGGCCATTTGGCTCATCGTGTCGACAAACTTAAAACAAAAATGAAAATTGCTCTCAAGGGGAATAGATCTCACTGCTTGGAAATGGAATACTTCACCACATTGGAAATCCAGTGCCTGCTGCAATTAGATGTTAGTTTGGTATCTATTTACATCAAAAGAGAAGTCGGATTGAAATTTAGGAATTAGATTGAAATTAACAAACTCATGTCACTTGGCAAAATTGGGCTGGATTCAAACCCAGACCCCAGTCACAATATAATTTTTTTAATATAAAAATATATAAAACTGAACTATGATTCAACTTATTCTATTCTATGGTGCACATACATGTATTAAATTCTTTTGAAAAAAAAGCCAAATTGTTGTCTTATAAACATGCCCTGGGAAAGGTGTGCTGAGATTTTCTCTTAAAATATATGTAAAATAATGATCAGGACGCAAAGTGGGATTGCCTACCAGTATAAGCCAATGAAAATTCACTATTGTTGGCAATAATTGAAGTTTACACTTTTCTAATTTGGGATCTTCAGCAAACAGCTTCTTGCACTAGTGCTGTTCTAAGAAATTATGAAGTTGCACTTTTTTTAAAAAAATGTTTACATGCTGATACCAGTCTGCTTGTGTAGAAATGAAAGCAAGGGGGAAGAATTGGATTAACTTTCACTGAAATTTCTACACTAAACTGGAAAGTACGTAGCATTAAATTCTCATTCAAAGAAATACAGAACTTGTCAGTCTAGTTTCTCTGAACCTTTCATTGGCCCGTGAAGGTTCTACAGAAGCATTCAGTTTTCTGTGCAATCATTGTACACTATGAATTTGTGAATTATTTTTCATATAAATTTCCATTTTATTCACAAAATATATTAATGTTATAAGGCTTGGACATGTGTTTGAGCAGAAAATTCAGGTTCACAAAATGCAGTTTGTTCAAACTTTAATTTATGTATTGAAATGGTTACCTAACATCAGGAATTGTTAAACATTTTAAAATATTGCTGTGCTATTAATCTGATGCCTTTGTACTAGATGGTGCAAACTTTGAATTTATAGATTTTAATTGGTGATAAAAATAACCTTGGAAGGCAACTTTTTTGGATTTGGGTGGGTTCTGGATTGTCAAAGAATACGTAACTTTGGATGATGACTTTTTTAAATAGCATAACCTATTTTTGTCTGGAGTTTAATGTGTGGCTACTAGCAACATGCTAATGCTGCTGCAGATGTTACATAGTCCACTACCTGTCCTGTAACAAACATGGGGTTTGATAGAGTGAAAACTTCAGGACGAGCCCAGCGTCTAATTCCTATATATCCTTCACTATGAATATGAGTATCAGACTTGCTGGTAAGTGAAATATACATGTTAGAATCGGCCTTTGAATTTGATAGAGGTCAGTTGGTTTTGATATTAATTATGGAAGAATTGTTTGACTTTTTCATTTGCAGGAAGGTACATAAAGCTGTTAAAAAAGCATTCGGGATACTAGACTTTATAAATAGGGGCATAGAATACAAAAGTCAGGAAGTTATGAAACCTTTATATAAAACACTGGTTAGGCCTCAGCTACAGACTGTTCAATTCAGGGCACCACACGTTAGGAAGGATATTAAGGCTTTGGAGAGGGTGCAGAGGAGATTTACCAGAATGGTACCAGGGATCAGGGACTTGAGTTATGTGGAGAGACAAGAGAAGTTAGGATTGTTCTCCTTGGAGCAGAGAAGGTTAAGGGGAGATTTAATAGAGGTGTTCAAAATTATGAGGGAATTTGATAGAGTTAACAAGGAGAGATTATTTCCACTGGCGGATGGGTCAGTAACCAGAGGACATAGGTTTAAGAGTTGTGAAATTTTTTCACACATCAAGTTGTTTGGATCTGTATATAGATATTTGGGGAGGACAAATTTGCAAGGCTGCGGGGAGAGCATGGGGGAGTGGGATTAATTTGGACAGCTCTTTAAAATAACTAGCATGATGGGCCGAACGGCCTCCTTCTGTGCTGCATAATTCTATGATTGTAAGTAAGAATTAATTTGGCATCTGGTGACAAAGGATCTGTAAGCCAAAATGTAACCGCACTGTACAATTTTTTTTCATCTAGATATTTATAAGAAAGTGTGAATAATATTTTATTATTCCTTTGTACAGTATTCTGATATTTAATAAAGGTCAGCATTCATGTAACATTTTTGCAATCTTGTTGTGTGTGTACAATATAATACAATGTACATTTTACATTGGGACAGCATCTTTCACATTGGGAGGACACCACAAAGTAATTGTACATGATCTTGTTAAAATGAACAATAAAAGCTGCTTGGAATTACATTCCCTCCCACTTTCTCACCAATTTTATTCATGTATAAATAGCTCTTTGAGTTGGTGGTTCCCCTTCAATTACCTAATTTGTTTTTAAAAAACTAAAATGTTATGTAAATATAGAGACTTGATTCTAGCTTTAACATTTTTCTGTTTTACACTCTGTGCGTCTGCTTTATGAAATCAGCTGAATACCTACCTAGCTTTAACATAGCGAAGCATGGACAACCATTGAAATGTGAAGACCAAGCAGTTATTTAATTTTATTCTTCCCCCTTCTGAATTGACCTCATGGTGAACATTGCTAGATGATTGCTCTCAATATCCATGTGTACATTTTTTCATCAGGAATCATTTGATAATCCTTGCATATGTTGCCTTTTCACATCATCAAGATGACAATAAATTTATTTAGTGCCTTTCACGTCAGGGGGACGTCCCAAGGTACTTGACACTGGTACGCAGCATTGAACTTGGCCCCAGAGAACATCAAGGTGACTAGCACATCGCAAGTTGTCCTGCAAAGGTCCTCCCACCAAACTGAAGGCAGGTGTCAGTCAGATAGCTGATGAGGAATCACTGAGGCTTGGAACGACAGCTGCTGGAAGGCATCACCTGGAGTCCAAGTTCATCAACACGTACTTGCACATCCAGCATCTGTGATCCAGTTTGATTGGTTTGCAGAGATGTAAGCAACCATCGCTCAGTGGGAAGGGAAATGTGCCCGAGCTGCAGACAGGAAGATAGTGGCATTGCCTTTCATGCTGAGCCATGTTGCCCACCAGGAAGCTCACAACAACAACAACAAGATTCCATTTATAAAGCGCCTTTCACGTCAGGAGGACGTCCCAAGGCGCTGTACAGTTGGGTCATGACCCGAGCAGGGGGGAAATGGTCAGGGTGAGGGGAGGGAAGGGAGGGAGTGAGGAGGGGGGAAATGGTCAGGGTGAGGGGAGGGAAGGGAGGGAGCGAGGAGGGGGGAAATGGTCAGGGTGAGGGGAAGGAAGGGAGGGAGCGAGGAGGGGGGAAATGGTCAGGGTGAGGGGAGGGAAGGGAGGGAGCGAGGAGGGGGGAAATGGTCAGGGTGAGGGGAGGGAAGGGAGGGAGCGAGGAGGGGGAAGAGAGTCGAGAGGGGAGCTGAAGGCTCGGTCAAAGAGGAGGGAGCTCCTGGTACCTGTCATCCACCTAGTGAGGGGTCAAACCTGTGCTTGCCAGATGTCAAATGATCAACGAGTGACTATTCCTCTTGGGGGAGAGGGAAGCAAGCTCTCCTTGGGGCTAAACTAGCTCCAAGGCAACATGTTTGGCAACAAAATATTGGAATTAAGCCTGCCCTCTGCAGCAGTCTTGGTAGTCCAATTCCTGAGCCAGACGGGTCTGCAGTACTCCAGGGCATTGCTGATGACAGCAAGCCAGGCTGGATGGCTCATCGGCAGGACTTGGATGGGCAGACCAGTCACTGTGGGCAGGGTCTCTTCCTTATCAGTTCTCTGGAGTCCTGTAGTTTAGAGGTTAGAGCACTCACCTCACAAGCGAGAGGACTTGAGTTCAATTCCCAGGCAGGTTGAAACACTGGCCAAGTTTCCTTACTCTAAACTCCTCTGTTTACCTTGTAATAAGTAGGAACCCAGTTGTTAATCGATTGGCAGATCGACTTTTCTGGGGGTAATAATCCCTTAAAAATAATAATTTGGTCACTCAATCCACAACTGTTTGTGGGACACTGCTATGCGTATGTGGCTGCCATGTTCGCCTACAAAGTATAGTCAATTCACTTTACATTATATTCTGCAAAGCGCTTTGAGGCATCTCATAGACGTGATTAGCCGCTATATCAAATGTAAGTTATTATTAACCCTGCAAGCCAAAGCCCTAATGGATAGGGTGGTCCTAGCTGGACAAGCAATGGGAAAGTTTGCCAGACAGTGCTTTCAATGGGAAGCTATGCAGTTTTAGCTGGTTAGACTCCAGCAGTACCCCTACGAACAACACTCTGGGGGCACCAAGCCTTGGTTCTTCCCAATCTGGACCTAATATGTTTTGCAGCCAATTGCGCACAGCAGTGTCCCACAAACAATCGTGGATTGAAGTGACCAAATTATTGGGGGGGGTTTTCTTGAGGATTATTATCAGGCGTGTGGAGTAAGGAAACTTGCCGGGAATCAAACCCAGGTCTCTCGCTTGCGAGGCGAGTGCTCTAAAGATAAGACACTATAAGAAATGCAAGAATTAGCATTATTATCCCTCCTGGGAGAGAGTGCACATTCCATGCCAATCAACATCTCTGGGATTTCCATGTATAGTTGGGATGCATGGACTCTTTTTTTGTTCGGATACTCTTAAAGCATTGTGATGGGTTTCTGCACGTGTCAAGACATCCCGCTAACCAAAACTGAAACACTTGACAGTCACTTGGTACCTTGGGTAGGTGTAGGAGCTGGGGGTGTGGGAAGAAGAAAGATAACCTAAAGCAAAGAGGTAGTATTTTGAAAGAGGTGGGAAGGTGGCAGTTGGAGAAACTCCAGGATGGAGTTCCAGAGTGGGGGCAGATAGACTGAAATCCAAGTGTGATGGGTGCTATATAAATGCAAGTTGCTATGGTCAGTGTGGCAGAGGGTGGGGGACATGAACCCGAGCGAAGGGAGCGGCAGTGTCCGTACGGTTTGAAGTCACAGAGATAGGTTGGGTGAAGGCTGTGCAAGGATCTGAAAGTGAAGACCAGATTCACTGGAGGATGGGAAGCCAATGGAGTCTGTCCAGAATATGGGTGGTCGGCCGGCAAGGGAAGACAGGGGAGGTCCAGCTGGCAGACAGGAGGCGTCCTGTAGCCTGGACATGATCAAAAGGAGAGCGAGAACCAGGCGCACAGTCAGAGGAGGAACTGACAAAACCTCTGACACCACAGCTGATCCCAACCTGAACTGACACACCTGCCCACCCTGACACTCACTCCGCGCCTGCGCAGTGGCCGGAGCTCATCGATGATGCGATTGAGTCTGGCTGTTTCCCGTCAGGCAGCGCGCGCGGCCTGCTCCTGGTTTGTGTCCAGTCATCGCGGTGCCGGCGCTGAGCGGGGCCCGGGTTCAGGGATCGCGGAGAGAGACAGAGGTGGGGGAGCGAGCGAGGCCTGAGCGGCTTTCCTTGTGGTTTGAGCAGCGCCCGCGACATGAAGGAGATGGCGGGGAAACAGAAGCCCAAAGACACGGCCTCGGAGCGGGGCAAAGCCACGAGCGGGAGCGGCCCCGGGGCTCCCGATGTGGAGATGAAAGACGTGTCCGGGGAGAATGGAAGCGAGCAGCCCGAGGCCGCGCACAAAACCCAGAAAGAGCTGGACCTGATCACATTGGAGGGTAAGGTGCCTCCCGCCAGACACCGGCGACAGCCTTTGCCCGAGGACTGTCTGAGGGACCCGCAGTGCCGCTGAGGGCTTTGCTGGGAGGACAGGCACTGGCTGTTATTCCTACTTCGATTTTCATATCATTACAAATTCTGATTGTGAAAATAATAATAATAATAATAATATAATGTCCTTGAGTTTGGTTTTGCGCCTTTTACATTCAGGACATCCCAAAGCTCTTCACGGGATGAATTGCAGATTCCCGTTTGTTCAGATGGACGTTGAGGATCCCATGGCACGATTCCAAAAAAGAGGGGGAGTTCTCTCCTGGTGTCCCAATCCCCCAAACAAATTTGTTTGCACCCTCTATGGCAGTTTGTGGGACGCAAGTGGCTGCCGTCTTTCACCCACAAAATACACAGTCACTCCACTTGACACTATATCCTGTGAAGTGCTTTGAGATGTCTCAACAATGTGATAAGGCGCTGTATCAAAATGCAAGGATTATTCATATTATTGAAATGCCCACTGTTTTATGGGCAGTCGCAGCAGCCAATTGCAACTTCTATAACCGTAACAGCCTGCCTGCTCCTCCACTCTTCACATCCCCTGCCCTGCCCACTATCGGCGGTGGGGCTTTCAGCCTTTCTGCCCCCAACGCTGGACTCTATTCTGAACTCCCTCTTCTCTAATGTCCTTCATCAAAGTCTGTCTAAAAACCTTTATGTTTTCCCCAGTTCAGATTCAAACCTTCTGCTGTATAGTAACCTGGAAGTTCCTCCTGAAGTGAAAGGCACTATAATAATAATCCTTGCATTTGATATAGCACTTTTCACGTCTTCTCAACGTCTCAAAGCGCTTCACAGAATATACTGTAAAGTGAATTGACCGTATATTTGTGGGCGAAACGTGGCAGCCAATTGCACACAGCAATGTCCCACAAACAGTCATGGATTGAAAATGACTATTATTGTTTTGTTTTGGAGGGATTATTATTAGACATGTGGAGTAAGGAAACTTACCCAAGGTTTCACCCTACCTGGAATTGAACCAGTGTCTCGCTTGCAAGGCGAGTGCTCTAAACACTGAGCTACAGGACTCCACTATATATATATGTATGTTTGTTTTATATATATATATGTCATTTTTTTTGATTGACAGAAGTTCAATATCTGGGAAAAGAGAACTTCCTTAGGAGAGTACTTTTTTTNATAAAGTCATTGTATGTAGCTTCTTACATTGCAGATTACTGTTGCCTGAAGTAAGTAGAGATGCAAAATCATACAACTAATTCAGTACAGTCAGATGTAATTGCTTGTCTCTGATGACACAAAACATATCTTAAAGGTATCTTGCATCTGAAAGATTTATTTCCTGCATTGTATCCCCTTCCGATATTGCAGATTTGATACTAGCTCAGTTTGTGCTACTGCCATTTGGGAGAGGACAGAGTGAAGCCTGTCATTTAATATCGATAAAAGTATTATAGGTGAAGGAGATGTTGAATTTATAGATAAAAACTTATAGTGTAGTAAGCTGTTTGGTGCTAATAGAGCGTAGATAATGTGATCCTGTTAGAAATAAATGGAATAGTTTTCATGTTATTGTGTATCTTATTGTAATAATTCAGTTTTCATCACTGTGATATTTTTAATGTAAAATCACCAGGTAGTTTCTTGAGCTTTCATATATAAAATTCAAATAATAATAATAATAATAATAATTATTGCATTTGATATAGCGCTTTTCACGTCGGGAGGACGTCCCAAAGCGCTTCACAGAACACACTGTAAAGTGAATTGACTGTGTATTTGTGGGCGAACGCGGCAGCCAATTGCGCACAGCGATGTCCCACAAACAGTCGTAGATTGAAAATGACCAATTTATTATTGTTTTTGTTTTTTTTGGAGGGATTGTTATTAGGCTCTGTGTGGAGTAAGGAAACTTGCCCAAGGTTTGGCCCTCTGCCTGGAATTGAACTCAGGTCTCTCACTTGCAAAGCGAGTGCTCTAACCACTGAGCTACAGGACTCCAAAGGCTTCAATTCCAATTATTGGTTGTTACTGAACTCAAATATGAGTGAATTAATGAATATTACCACACCAAATTGCTTAGTAGTAGTTTCACTGAGGTGTTTGGAATTGATTGAACAGAATATTCTCCTCACTTTAAGCATTTCCGGAGATACAGAGGGTATTATTTCATGTTTCCTGTTGGGCTTAGGACTAAAAAATTTAAGTGCTTGATATGGAAAGGACCTATTCAGAAACATTTTCTTAGTGAGGGTGTAGTTGACGGACTTGGGTGTTTTCATGATGTATGCGGTGAGTGTTTATTGCAGGATTATAATAGTGAGCTTTTGGACTAACTATATTGCATTTGTTTTGTATTTTATATGCAAGGTCTTGTTTTCAGAAGTTACATAACCATTGCATGGAAGCATTTTGTGCAGGATTTGTGATATTGTATTCAATTTTAAAAGAAATTGTATGTTGTCGTGAAATTAATTGTAATCAGAAGTACATTGTGGATAGGTAGCAAGTTCACATAATTTCACCAAAACTACTTCTTTACTTTTTTTAAGATATCAAAGAACACGTAAAGCAGATTGAGAAAGCTGTATCAAGCAAGGAGCCACGGTTCGTCCTGCGGGCCCTGCGAGCACTACCTTCCACCTGTCGCAGACTAAATCCCACCGTCCTCTACAAGGCCATCAATGGCTTCTTTGTCTCAAATACTTCAACAAGGGATTTCCTGTTGGCTTTTCTCGAGGAGGTCAGTATCAGGAACCAGGGGTTAGCAGTTTGATGCTGAAGTTCTTAGTGGTGTGAAACATGGGATTTTACAGCACAGAAGGAGGCCATATGGCCCATCGTGCCGAAAGAAAGAGCGACCAACTAGTCCTTCCCCCACTCTTACCCCAAAGCCCTGCACATTTTCCCTTTTTAACTACCTATCCAATTCCCTTTTGAAAGCTTTTCCCTTTAGAATGCTGTCTAATTGTGATTAATATGTTTTATTAAATCTTTCAGCCAATGGATACAGAAGGGGATGTGCAGTTTCGCCCTCGAACAGGAAAAGCGGCTTCTGTACCTCTTCTGCCTGAGGCTGAAGCCTACTTGCAGCTTCTGCTGGTCATTTATTTGACAAACAATAAGCGATACACTGAGGTGAGAGAGACGAATCTGCAGAGATGGTCATCGTTGTCATATAATAATAATAATAATAATCCTTGCATTTGATATAGCGCTTTTCACGTCGGGAGGATGTCCCAAAGCGCTTCACAGAACACACTGTAAAGTGAATTGACTGTATATTTGTGGGTGAACGCGGCAGCCAATTGCGCACAGCAATGTCCCACAAACAGTCGTAGATTGAAAATGACCAATTTATTATTGTTTTTGGTTTTGGAGGGATTATTATTAGGCTCTGTGTGGAGTAAGGAAACTTGCCCAAGGTTTCGCCCTCTGCCTGGAATTGAACTCAGGTCTCTCACTTGCAAAGCGAGTGCTCTAACCACTGAGCTACAGGACTCCACAATGAGAGCGAGTGGGTGAGAAAGAGAGGACGAGAGCGTGAGAGATGGTGTGCGTGTGTGTGTGTGTATGTGACAGGCTGCGTGTGAGAAATAGAGTGTGAGCGTGTGTGTGAGAGTGTGAGCGTGTGAGAGAGAGTGTGAGCGTGAGAGAGAGAGAGAGAGAGGGAGGGAGGGATAGGAATTGGGGTGTAATGTCTCTCAAACTCCAACGCTGTCACACAGCTTCAGTGCAGTAAATCCGCGCCCACACGTCCGCGCCCGTAGTGTCAGATCCAGGCTGTGCTGGGGGGGGTTTGTGGGGCGTGGTGGGGGGGGAGGGGGGGAAGAGTCATGTGATTGTGTAGTATGTTACGGTTTGGGAAACTCGCCAATATACAGAGTGTCTGTGTTGTACACATTACATTTTTAATTTCACAAAATCATAGAAAGGAGTGCAGGAGGAGGAGGGCATTTGGCCTATCAAGTCTGCAATTTTTACTTTATTGAAAATTTCAAGTAAAAATCAAATAATTAAAACTGCAGTTCTGGCTTGTTCAGAGTTTCAAAAATATACATCTCTCGGGGAATGAGTTTGTGTCTGGTCTTTGAATAATAGAATTAAAGACTTCTAATTTTTATCTTGGATGAGGAACAATGCTGCAGAACCAATAAATTCTTATGATTTCTTGACATTCGACCCAGATCTTGATGAATGTGAATCCATCGTCTTAAAAATTATTTATATTTTTGATACTAAATTGGCAGTCTCACTGAGGGGCCTCGGGGGAATGGAAATTCATACGACTGAAATAGGGTCTGTGCTTCTGAGGTTAGGTTTAATAACTGTTGAAGAGTGGGAGTTTTTCTATATCTGACATGTGTTTGATACAAAAAAAAGGATTTTTTTTCCATTTTCAGCACTGACATCGCTCACTTTAATCACAATTTCTTCCACACTAACAAAATAATTTTCACCCACAAAATACTGTCATTTTACAGTGTATCCTGTAAAGCATTTTGAGACATCTCAATGATGTGATATCAAAACAAGTATTGTTATCATTTTTACTTATAGAACAGCTTGTGCTATGGACAAGGTGTTGAGTGGTTCTGCAGTATTTTCCTAGAATTAAGAATCTATGATAGTGTGTATATAAAAAAANTTGAAACTAGTATCAGTTAAAACTGCAGCCAGGAGTTTGCTGTGATAAAGGTGAAATTCTAATGCAGATGTTATTTTTTTCTCCTCCTTTAGGCACAGAAATGCTCAGATGATCTGATGCAAAAGATTGCTGCTCAGAATCGTCGGGCTCTGGATCTGGTTGCTGCTAAGTGTTATTATTACCATGCTCGGATTTATGAATTCCTCAACAAGCTTGATGTAGTTAGAAGGTGAGAAACCCATTTCACTTTCTATCCATGAGCATTAAATTACTGTACTACCAATGCACACAAATTCCATATGTCTATACTATATACAGTGGAATCCGATTTTGCCAGATGCCAGTTAACCCAGACATCGGGTAAATCAAACAAAATGCCTGGCCGCAATTCATTTGTATTCTTGCCTGTTTAAATATGACGGTTAATTCAGGCAAAAATCCGGTTAAACGCCGGGTTGCTGCTGAATATATTCACTAGGGCCTTTTGGATGTAGATGGGAGGAGGCAGATTGTGATCGACAACGGACTCCAGCCATTCTGCGGCAGTTCTCACTCCTTGTTGTACTTATGAATTTTAGTAACGCTGATGAACTAAGTGGCTTCTGCGCTTTTATAACCCTGTCAGTGTGAGTCCCTGCTCAAAGGAGTCTCAACTGAGTCTGAATCAAGTCACTCATAGGTATTCCCAGATAACTCCAATACCCGGTAACTGGGATGTCAAATCGTGGTCTGTCGGCACTGCCAGAACTCCGATCTCGACAGCTACTCTGCAAGTGATTAACTCCTTTTCTTGTCTTAGAAATTTACAAAGACTTGAGGATATAATCGATAAAATCGATCGATAATAGCAATCCTAGGCTTCCTTGCAGATAAGAAACACAACAATTTAAGATATGCAACAATGGGATCAAATATAACTAACACACATAACTATAACAACTAGCAGCACAATACTACATTAGTATAAAGTAATTAAACCAACCTCAGTTGCGCAGGGATCCTGTACATGTCAGTATGTACCGGATGACGACCATTAAACCGACCACGAGGTGCACCAGGCATTTCTTTTTATAGGCCCTTGCTCCGCCCACTGTACGACGTGAATATGAGGGCTTTTACCCGCGCGAGTGTCCACGTGACTTTCCAGGCTGTTTGCTAACTACCTGTCAATCATGCAACCTTGAGCCCAAATATTGATGCGAGTTGGACACCTCATGTACGCTGTATGCTACTTCTTTTGCAGACAGCTCTTGCAACTAAACCGTATACAAGCCTTCTCCTAAACAGAATCTAATTAAAGGGACAGGCCTCCCCATTTTCCATAAATAATATTACTTTCACTTATATAGCATCCTCCACGTAGGGTAGCGTCTCAGAGCGCTTAAATTATATTATATGGATATATAATTCATGTTATTTACATATTACTAAGGGTTGCAAAACAGGTTAACCATGGCAATTCACAAGTGGCCTTAGTTGGGCTGTCAATTGGGCTGAGGGGGCAGAGGAACGGGGATAGAACAAGGGAGGATCAAATGGCGATTGATTGACAGCCGAGCCGCTCATGAATGTCTGGAGCTTGTCCATTCACAAGCCACTGCAGGCTGTCAATCACTTCTGAGCCGCCGCTAATTGGTCCCCTTCCTGTCCAATGGGATTGGAAACGGGAGGGAGGCGGTGCTGCTGCTGGGCTGGAAAGTGCTGGACTGTATTTTGCAGCCAATCAAAGGTAAATCTTTTTTACTGAAGTATACGGCGTCAGCGGAGCTCCTCTGATAGGCAGGAAAGGTATTTGGATTAACCTTGGCCGCCACTTAAGCCTGACCTGACAAAACGGCCGTATCAATTGACAAACTATGCAGTTTTAGCTGGTTAGACTCCAGCAGTTACCCCAGTGCACACTCTGGTGTCCCCAAACCTTGGCTCTTGCCAACCTGCGCTTAATACTTTCCGGAATTTGGTAAGCAGGATGCATCCCTCCAGGGAGAGAGTGCGCATTCCATTCCAACAATCTATCTCTGGGATTTCCATGTGTAGGTGGAATGCATGTAATTCTAATTTTGGTTTGGATACTTGCGAGCATGGTGATGGTTTTCCACATGTTCAGAAAAAAATAAATCCATTATTGGAAGAGACGGTATGTGACCGTTGGATAAAAGAATCGGGCTCGACTGTTCTGCAGAGAAAATGTTTCTTTTTTTTTATTAGTTCGGTGTAAGGCTGAAACTTACAAGTGCAGTGGAAGCCTCTTAAGATGGATACTGGTTTATCATTTATGTACTTACCTGTGTTAAATCTGCCATTTAATTTGAAAAAAAATCCAGTTAATCCAGACAAAATGGTGGACCCACTGCTTCAACTCACTTCAACCTTCTGTGTGATTCAGTCTCGATTCAGACTTCATCCATTCACGAGTGGCTCCGGGGCTGTCAATCAGTGAGGGGGCAGAGGAACAGGGAAGAAAAANGGAGGGAATGGAGATGGGAGGAGAAAAGTTGAGATTGATTCACCTAGAGCCGCTTATGAATGGATGAAGTGCCGGGCAGGGGTCCAATTGTGGCTTAAGTGGCTTCCACTCTCTATGGAAGTCTGTTTAGTTTGGAGACTTCAGTATGCTGATGGATTGTTGCATGTGTCATAGAAACCTGGCTGACCAAAACAAAATAGAAACCCATCACTACGCTTAAAGATCCTCATCCATTCACAAGGCCATTCACGGCCTTGCTCCCTCCTACCTCTCTGACCTACTATCCCCCTACCTACCTGCCCGTACCCTCCGTTCCTCTGGCTCCGGTCTGCTCCACATCCGCCGCCCCAACCGCCCTACAATCGGTGGCCGGGCCTTCAACCTCTCAGCCCTGAGGCTCTGGAACTCTATCCCCCAGTGCCTTTGCCGCCTCCTCCCTTTACTCCTTCAAGGCCGGTCTCAAGACCTTTCTCTTCGACCGTGCCTTCAGCTCCCCTCTCGACTCTCTACCCAACTCCTCGACCCCTTCCCTCCCCTCACCCTGACCATTTCCCCCCTGCTCGGGTCCTGACCCAACTATCCAGCGCTTTGGGACATCCTCTCGACATGAAAGGCGCTCTATAAATGGAATCTTGTTGTTGTTGTTGTTAAGAGTATCATAGTCTTGAGAGTTTCACATATGTATATCTTCCCTCTGTTTGGAATAGAATTTGTACTCCCCCCCCCCCCCAGAGGGCTGCGCTCTGGTTCCTAATTCTGGAGCATAATGGCTGAAAATTGGCAAGATCCAAGTCTTAGGGGACCCAGAGTGTTTGGTGGAATACTGCTGCAGTTTAACCAGCTAAAACCACATTGTTTGTCATTGTGAGCACTGCCTGGTGGATTTCCCTTTGGTTGTCCAGCTGGAACCACCCTGCTCGAGAGGGCTTTGATTTGCAAGATTAACAAGATTAGGAAGAATCCATCTTGCTCTCCAGTTTTTGTCGACATCAACAGTGCACATCTACCGATTGCACGATGCTTCTGTCAGTTTGAGTGGAGAACTTGAGCAAGAGCTGCTTACCTCGCTGCATACTGATCAATGTGGATACCAAGCTCTGGATATTTGAGCATGTATTCACAAACCCATAACTGTGTGGACATTGGATAATAGGGTTTGAGCATGGAGTAGCAAAATATGTTGATGCAGAGGCTTATTATCCCCGTTCTTGCTCGGCTTCATTAGCTCCCCATCCCTCAGAGAATCGAGTACAAAATCCTTGTTCTAACCTTTAAAGCCATTCACTGTTTTGCTCCCACCTACCTCTCCGACCTCCTAACCCCATATCAGCCTGTCCGCTCCCTCCAATCGGCGGACACCGACCTGTTTCAGGTCCCCCGCATTTCCCGCCCCACCATTGGCAGTCGGGCATTCAGCATCTCTGCCTCTACACTCTGGAACACTATCCCACAATTCCTCCGCCTTATCCCCTCTCTTGCCTTTTTCAAGTCATGACTAAAGACTACTGCTGTGTGCAGTTGGCTGCCAGGTTTCGCTCTCGAAATATACAGTCAATTCACTTTACAGTATATTCTGTGAAGCATTTTGAGATGTCTCGAAGACGTAAAAAGCGCTATATCAAATGCAAGGATTATTATTATTAAAGACCTTCCTCTTTGACCATTCCTCCCACCTCCACCACTCCTGACCCCAACTCCCAGCTCGGGTCCAAAAATCTCTGACTGTTCAGCACCCTGGACATCTTTCCAACAAGTGTAATTTGTTGTTGTTATTAAAACACAGAATGCTTTGCTAAACAGAAGCTAGTACAATAACCATTAAAAGAGAATCAGATAAGTATTTGAAGAAAAAAAACATAAACTGTTACAAGAAAGGTTTTGGATTTGGTTGTATTAGCTCCAGTGGACGTCTGGCACCTTAATGGCTGAATGTCCCCTTCCCCCTGTGCTATATGTTTCATGTTGTATACACTCCGAGGCTATTTGTTTCTAGCCCTTATAAGAAATGTGTAATTTTATTGACTTGTTTGCAACTGATCTTATTTTCTAAGTTTCTTACATGCACGTTTGAGGACTGCCACCCTACGCCATGATGCTGATGGACAGGCCACTCTGCTGAACTTGTTGTTGAGGAACTACCTGCAGTATAACCTTTATGATCAGGCTGAGAAGCTCGTCTCCAAATCCATTTTTCCAGAACAAGCAAATAACAATGAGTGGGCTCGATATCTTTATTATACTGGTGAGACTCCAAACTCACAATCTTCACTATTTTTTTCTGCCCTTGATTGTCTCCATCCTTTGATAAACATAGGAACGTATGCCTTTAAACAGAAAATAACTAGGGAAAGTTAGGTTATCATTCTATGAGCAAGCTTCTGTGTTTGAAAAATAACTCCTATTTGCTGCCTTCAGGTCGTATTAAGGCTATTCAGTTGGAATATTCGGAAGCCCGGAGAACATTAACCAATGCTCTACGAAAGGCACCTCAGCACACTGCGGTTGGCTTCAAGCAGACGGTGAGCTGAAAACCTACTGTTGCAATTTGTTTCAGTCTTTTGAAAAGTGTATATATTTAGTTCCATAAGGAGACTTGAACCAGTGGCTCCCTAAATGCAACAAATTGCATTTATATGGTGCCTTTGACGTCGGGAGGACGTCCCAAGGCGCTGGACAATGAGGTAGAGCCCACGGGTGGTGGAGGAGAGCAGATGGCCGAAGCCACAGTCAAAAAGGAAAATATTGAGACGGGAGCAAGGAGGAGGGGATGGAGGAGGAGGAGGATGGAGTTCCAGAATATGGGGCAGAAAGGCTGAAGGCCCGACCTCCGATAGTGTAGTAGGCAGAGCATGGGACGTGGAGTAGCTTGGAGGGAGCAGACAGGTTGGTCAAGTTTTAATAGGTCACAAGGTAGAGAGGAGCAAGACCATGGAGGGTTTTGAAGGGGAGGAGAAGGTCTATCCTCTGGGGGATGGAGAACCATTGAACCTGGGCAAGGATAGGGGTGATCAGCTCATGGAGCTTGGTGCGGGAGAGGACCTGAGCTGCAGACTTCTGAATAATCTGCAGTTTGTGGAGGGAAATCCGGCGAGCAGGGAGTTTGCATAAGCCTGGACGTAATGAAAGTGTGGATGAGGGTCTTGGTGGCCTGAGGGGAGAGGTAGTGGTGGACACAGCCAATGTTGCGTAGATAGGAGAAGGCAGAACAGGTAAAGGCACAGATGTGGGGTTTAAAACACAGTTGGGGGTCGAATAACACTAAGGTTCTGTTCTGGCTCAGTGAGATGGATGTGCATCCATGAATAGTGATGCTGTCAGCTAGGGAAGTGAGGAGGCACTGATGGGAGCCAAACAGAAGATCCTCAGTCTTGTTGACATTCAACTGTAGGAAGTTGGCTCTCATCCAAAACGTGATATCTGACAGGCAATCTATCTGTGGTTTAATGGCTGTATTTTAATTGGCAGGTTCACAAATTGCTGATTGTGGTGGAGTTATTATTGGGTGAGATCCCAGACAGACTGCAGTTCCGACAGCCATCACTGAAGAGGTCCTTGATGCCCTATTTCCTGTTGACTCAGGGTTAGTACCGATTAGTTAAGCACAAGTTGTGAGTTTTTCAATTGAGCAGATCTAAAAATGTTTAAAAATTTTCAGACTATGTGTGTCAACATAACATAACATGTAGGAGCAGGAGTAGGCCATTCGGCCCTTCAAGCCTGCCCCGCCATTCAATCATGGCTAATCTTCTAATCTGTTGCAGTTGTAGCACTCTTGTCTCTGAGGCAGAAGTTTGTGTGGGTTCAAGCCTCACATCAGGATCTGAAACTCATTTTGTCCAAGCCGAAAATACAATGCTGGAGGGGTGCTGTGTGGCTGATGAGACGTTAACGGAGTTCCTCACAGTATCCTGGCCAACAAAAAATTGGTCATTCTTTCCATGACTGTTTGTGGGGCTTTGCTGCATGCAAAATAAAAACAGTCACTGCACTTTATAGTAGATCACTCAGGGAATCAGTTCAAGATCCTGGTTCTCACTTTCAAAGGCCTTCACAGCCTTGCTCCTCCCTACCTCCATGACCTGCTATCCCTCTACCAACCTATCCGCTCCCTCAGCTCAGCAGGCTCCAGCCTGCTTCAAATCCCTCGCCTTGTCTGCCCCAGCATTGGCGGTCAGGGCTTCAGCCTCTCTGGAACTCCATCCCACAGTCCCTCCGCCTCATCCGCTCTCCTACCTCCTTCAAGACCCTCCTCTTTTACCATGCCTTGGGTCACCCTCCTACCCCTACTCTCCCTGCCCTCCACCCCTCCTGATCCCAATCACCAGCTCGGGTGTGATTCCCTGACCAGCGCTTTGGGACATCGTGACGTGAAAGGCGCTATACAAATATAATTTGTTGTTGTGAAGTGCTTTGAGATGTCCTCCTGGAGTGAAAGGAATAATACCAAATGTAAGTATTATTATGTGAACATTGTGATATAAAAATGCTTTTAATTTATTTGATTTTAATTAAAATAGCTTATGCAATCTTCAATGTATTTTGTAAAACGTTTGCTTTCTCTTTCAAAAACAATCACATTTTGGGTGAGCAAGCAATACAACAACTGTTCGAGACAAAGATGGTAACTTCAGAATTCTGTTTTAATCTACAGCTGTGCGCACTGGGAATTTATCCAAGTTTAACCAGGTCTTAGAACAGTTTGGAGAGAAGTTTCAGGCTGATGGCACGTACACATTAATCATCCGCTTGAGGCACAACGTCATCAAGACAGGTTAGAATTGATGTATAGTATTTTTAGAATCAGAATTATACAGCACAGGAGACCATTTGGCTCATCGTGTCTGTGCCGGCTCTTTTAAAAAAGCTATCCAAGTCAATCCCATTCCCCCATAGCCCTGCAAAACTTGTCCTCCCCAAATAATTATCTATTTCTCTCTTAAAAGTTGTTTTCGAATCGGCTTCCATTCCAGATCCCAACAACTCACTGCGTAAAAACATTTCTCCTCACCTCCCCTCTGTTTCTTTTAACAAGTATTTTAAATCGGTGTCCTCGGGTTACTGACCCACCCCACCAGTGGAAATAGTTTCTCCGTGTTCACCCTATCGAATCCCCTCATCATTTTGAAAACTTCTATTAAATTTCCTATTAAACTTCACTGTTCCAAGGAGAATAATCCCGGCTTCTCTCGCCTCTCCTGATAACTGAAGTCCCTCATTCCTGGTACCATCCTGGTCAATCTCCTTTGCGCCCTCTCGAAAGTCTTGACATCCTTCCTAAAGTGTGGTGCCCAGAACTGAACACAGTCTCTCGCTGAGGCCTAACCAGTGTTTTATAAAGGTTCATCATAACTTCCTGACTTTTGTATTATTTGCCCCTATTTATAAAGCCTAGTATCCAACAGTTTTATCAACCTGTCCTGCCACCTTCAAAGATTTACTTATATGAACCCCCAGATCTCTTTGTTCCTTCACCCCCTTTAAGATTCTATCATCTAGATTATATTATCTCCTCATTCTTCCATCCAAAATGCATTACTTCGCATTTCTCCACATTAAACTTAATCTTCCACCTTCCTCTCGGACATCTCCACTTTCCTATCCTCCCTCTCCCTCTGCTCTGAACGCTTCCTAATTTTAGGCGACTTTAACCTCCACTTCACCCTCTCCTGCTCTACCTCTGCTGACTTCTCCTCCCTCCTCTCTTCCCTTAACTTCTCCCTCCACATCCACCCCCCACCCCCCATCCACGACTACATCCGACCCCCCACCCTTGATTTGGTGATCACCTGGGGCCTCACCGTCTCGGACATCACCATCAACGAGAAAGCCATTTCGGACCACCACTTTGTCTTCCTCAACACCTCTGTACCCTTTCCACCTTCTTAAACCTCGACCATCACATACCGTCCATGTGAAAAAAAATTCCTCCCTATCCCTCTCCACTGCCCTGGAGATCTGAACTCCTATCCCTCTGGCCCTCACTGACCGATCTACCCTCCTTGTTCTCTTTTCTCCACAACTCCTCTTCCATTCTAGACTCCCTTGCCTCCCGAACTGCCTCATACTTCCATAAATCCCCTTGTACACCAGCCATCTCCGTTCCCTCAAGGCACAAGTACGAACTGCCGAACGCGCCTGGACTAAATCCAAACTAACGGTCCATTGGCAGATTTCGCTTCATCAGACCAAGACCTACCGCCGCATTCTTGCCTCCGCCAAATCCTCCTTCTACTCCAAGCTTATCTTGGAGGCAAAGGACAACCCCAGGCTTCTCTTTTCCACCACAAACCATCTCCTCCGTCCACCTTCCCACACCTTGCCTCTCCTCAAACTCCAACTGTGAGGAGATGCTGGATTTCCTTGAATCCAAAATTGAGGGGATACGTTCAGCCACCTCTGCCCCGTCCACTTCCACCCCCACATCACCTCTCCCTCATGACCCACTCCCCACCCATCCCCCCCTATACTCCTTCGACCCTATCTCTCCCGCCTCCCTCATCGCTATCGTTCGCAAACTTAAACCCACCACCTGCTCCCTCGATCCCATCCCCACCTCTCTCCTCATCTCCCAGCTCCACATTCTGGCCCCTCTCCTGTCCGACGTCATCAACCTCTCCCTGTCCACCGGTTCAGTTCCCACCCCCCTAAAAACAGCTGTCATCACCCCCATCCTGAAAAAACCTTCCCTGGACCCATCCCTACTCTCCAGCTACCGCCCCATCTCTAACCTCCCATTCCTCTCCAAGGTCCTGGAACAAGTCATCACGTCCCAACTCCGCTCCTTTCTTTCTCGCCATTCCCTCTTTGAACCCCTCCAATCCAGCTTCCATAGCACAGAAACAGCTCTGGTCAAAGTCACTGATAACATTCTGAACATCTGTGATCAGGACTCCCTCTGCCTCCTTGTCCTCCCGACCTCTCTGCCACCTTCGACACTGTCGACCATTTCATCCTCCTTCACTGCCTCGCCTCTTTACTTAATCTTCGCGGACCTGCCCTTGCCTGGATTGAATCCTATCTCTCACCATCTTCACGTGCCTCTAACGGTTTCTCCTCCAGCCCCTGCACTGTCACGTCTGGCGTCCCCCAGGGCTCTGTCCTTGGCCCTCTCCTCTTTAATATCTATATGCTCCCTCTTGGTGACATCATCCGCAGACATGGGGTCAACTTCCATACGTATACAGATGACACCGAACTCTATCTTTCTGCCTCCACCCTCAACTCCAGGACCACTGCTGTCCTGACAGACTGCCTGTCAGACATTAAGTCCTCGATGAGGGCAAATTGCCTACAGTTGAATGTGAACAAGACTAAGGCTCTCCTGATGGGCTCTCGCCAGCGCCTCAGCACCTCAGGCTCTGGCAGCATCAATCTCCATGGTTGCACACTTCAACTCACCAGCCAGTCAGGAACCTGGGTGTCTTGTTCTAACCTCAACTGTCTTTTCTTCTCCACATCCAAGCCGTGACCCGCTCTGCCTTCACTCACCTCCGTAACATCTCCCGACTCCGCCACTACCTCACCCCTCAGGCTGAAACTCTTGTTCATGCCTTCATCAGATCCAGGCTCGACTATGCAAACGCCCTGCTTGTCGGCCTTCCCAACTCCTCCCACAGGCAGCAGATAATCCTGAACTCTGCAGCCCGTGTCCTCTCCTTCACCAAACTCCGGGACCCCATCTCCCCCATTCTCGCCCGACTCCATTGGCTGCCTATCCTTCAGAGGATCCCGTTCAAGATCCTGGTCCTCAACTAAAAAGCCCTCCTTGGCTTCGCCCCACCCTACTTCTGCAACCTCCTAACCCCCTATCAACCAGCCCGCTCCCTCTGCTCAGCTGGCTCCGGCCTGCTCCACGTCCCCCGACCCACCCACACAATTGGCGAGAGAGCCTTCAGCTACTTTGCCCCCAACCTCTGGAATTCCATCCCTCAATCACTCCGCCTCGCCCCTTCCTTAGCCTCCTTCAAGTCCCGCCTCAAAACCCTCCTCTTCGACCATGCCATCGGTCACCTCCGTTCCGCTCACCTCCCTTTTCGCTCCCTGTTTGGGTCTGAAATGCTGTTCACTGTCCAGCGCCTTGGGACGTCCTCCCAACGTAAAAGATGCTATACAAGTGTCTTTTCTGCCATGTGTCTGCCCACTTTACAGTCTGTTTATGTCCTCTTGCAGTGTGCCAATATCCTCCACGCTGCTTACTACTTTTCTAGCTTAGTATCATCTGCAAACTTGGAAATTGTACTCCCTATTCCCACGTCTGGGTCATTTATATAGATCAAAAACAGCAGTGGTCCCAATACTGACCCCTGGGAGATACCACTGCACACCACTCCAGTCAGAAAAACAACTGGTCACCACAACTCTAAGCTTTCTGTCTCCCAGTCAGTTCTGTATCCATGTTCTGGATACAGAACTTTTTTGCCTTTAACAAATCCATGTTGGCTTTTATTAACCCATATTTTTCCAAGTAAAATCTATTTTGTCCCAGATTATAGTACCTAGAATACTATATTCTTTCACCTGCTTGCTCCCTATTCAGTGTTTCAGTACCTGCTACCCCACAAATAATCTCTAGTCAGCGATGGAAATACTTGTTCTACCTTTGAATGTGAAAATGCATACATGTTATATTTTTCTGCACATTGCCTGATGTAACAGCCGTCACATGAAGCACTTCTTGTTATGTGTATTAATTTGTATTCCGTACCAAGCTGTACAGTAAAACTCACATAAGTCTGATCTGTATGCATTGTATAATCACTTAAATCTGCGCAAGTCCTGTTCAAGAGTTTATATTCTATGCAGGTTTGACATAACTCATACTTTACATAAGTCATATTAAATGTATGGTCCCATCTGGTACAACTTATGTGAGGTTTATTGTAATGTATGTTGATGTTAATCAGACTTCTGTCATACCCAAGAGGTATCGAATTATCAAATATCAGTTATCAAATACTAATTGTTTTGTATACTGGGTTTTACATGGTCACGTGGTTACCAAACTCATCTAAAAAGTTAAGATTACCACATGTCACTGAGATTGGCTGGGAAGCTTAGCGGGTAACGGAAGGGATGAATTCTATTCCCTTCATACCAAAGGATGATATTGTTAGTCATCCAAGGGATCTGAGCAGCATTACCCAGTAGTTTAGTCACAACTTGGGAGACTAGGACCATTGCGTTCTATACATCATTGCAGCACTTATTGTGTGAACATCTACTACATATCAAATGAGTAATTTTATTGATGATGTTGATATACTGCAGCCCAAGACCTGGACCTGTGACCATGGAAGGGAAGGTGTATGAAAGATGTTTAACAGTTTATAATAACAACAACAACTTGCACTTATCTAGTGCCCTCCACGCAGGGTAGCATCTCAGAGCGCTCAAAATCATTGTAGACTGCTAGTGGATTGTTACGTGGAGCTCAGGTCAGTCCCAGATTTAATGGTACTACAAAGTATCTGAACTGCTGACTGATCCAATGGAATGTAAAAGAGCCTTAGGTTGCTGACTGGCACATTGGATCATCTTTTTGCATTTGGCATAATTTCTTTTGTGTCCAGACCCATAGGCTGGGCCAATAAAAATTGTGTAAATATTTACCCCAAATTGTGGGGGAATTAACCAACCAAACTTTGCGGAAAATTGCGGGGGTGATTGGTGCCATTGAGATACATTTTACTGCCAACCTTTATGGATAAAAACTAAACCTGAGGAAATAACACATATTAGACTGTTGCAAAAAATGTTTTTACTTCTTTAGCAAAAACTGGGTGGGCCATGGGGTTGGGGGAGGAACAAAGGGCCTGGAGATCTGTCAAAAACAGACAATATCAGGACTGGTGTCCTGACTGTGGCCTACAGGAGCTCACCACCTCCAAACTCTGAGAGCCCGGCAACACACGCAGACACAGAGACCCAGAGAGAGAGAGAGAGACAACCCCCCCACACACACACACTCAGAGACGGAGAGAGACGCACTCACAGACACAGAGAGACCCGTATTCTCAGAGAGAGACACACACACACAGTCACACAAACAGAGACACATTCTCAGAAAGAGAGAGAGAGAGACACACGCTCAGAGGCGGAGAGACACGCACACACTTATAGACACAAAGAGACACACACACTCAGACACAAAGACACACACACACAAAGGAGAGAGGTACATGTTACACAAAGACACATATATACACACATGTAGAAGAGACATGCACTCACACGCATACATAACAGTGGAGAGAGAGTCACACAGACACTCACAAACATACAGAGAGGGATACATTCACATAGACACTCACAAACATATAGACCAAATGAGAAACAGACACATAAAGAGACAGACACACACACACATAGAGAGACAGACCCACTCACACACGCACACACAATAACCAGAGATTCTTTTATGTTCCTGTCCGGTGTGTGAATACTGGGAATATCTGAACTAGTCCTGATGTTCACAGCTAAAGCTGCACTCACCAACACTCACAGATTAATGATAATGGTCATCCCTAATGTGTGCTTTGTCTCAGCTAAACAGAGTAAGGCGACTCAACACGTAATTCTAGCAGAGCAACGACTTGAGTAAAGAGTGAAGACACTACTCCTGTGGATAGATTGCTGAAACAATCAGCATGGTGTATGATGCAATAAAGAAAGCAAACGTCATCTTGGGGTATTTAGTGAGAGGAATGGAGCACAAATCACAGAGATATATTGATCTTCCGCAGAGCATTGATCCGGAACCACCTGGATTCTCGAGTATTACAGTGCTGCATACAATTGCCATATTACAGTAAGAACATCTTGGGATTGAAGATTAAGTATGTTTTTAATTTCTTTTTCCCTACAGGTGTGAGAATGATCAGTTTATCTTACTCCCGCATCGCTCTGACTGATATAGCACAGAAACTCCAGCTGGACAGCCCAGAGGATGCAGAGTTTATAGTTGCCAAGGTAACTTGAGTAATCTATGTAGAAACGAGTGCAACCATAGGTCAATTTTATAAAAATTGCAAGAAATTAGGAGCACATTTAGGAGTCCAACAGAAAGTAGCCCATTTGAGCCATTGAGCATATGCAGGTGCTGGCTTCTCTACTCTTGCTGTATGTCTTAATTCAAAAAACCTGTTCCAAATGTAAAGTAAAGAGGACTCAAACAATCATGAGTTCCACATTGGAGCAATGCCATTGGGGAAACCATTGACCATTAGTTTCCCCAGGCAACTTTTGTGCATTTAGTCGAAATGATACGCTATTTTACTCTTAAAAATAAAATCTTGATCGCTCAATCTGCAACTGTTTGTGGGACACTTCTGTGCGCAATTTGCTGCTGCTTTTCACCCAAAATGCACAATTAATCCACTTTACAATGCAGTGGAATCCACTTTACCAGACCCATCAGGGAAAGGAGTTTTGTCCAATTTAACCAGCATCTGATAACTGAAGTTCTTACCTTTCTCTTCTCTTCCCACTGTCTCTACTGAATGCCTCTTCCCTCCCATGAGGTGTCAGTCACCTCAGAGCTGCCGCAAATTGGTCCTCTCCCTGGCCACCGGATGCAGTCACTGCCACTCCCCAGCACTACCCACCCCCACTTCCCCCCGAGCTTCTTGTGAATGGCTGGAGTCCACTGTCAATCGCAGTGTGACTCCACCCATCTCCATGCTGGAGCCACGCTGTCTGATTGGAGCCGCTCCTGACACTGAAGGCCCGAGTGAGTACATTCAGCAGTGATAAGTGCGGCATTTGACTGGATTAACCGGATTTTCGTCCGAATTAATAGATATGTTTAAAACGAGAAAGAATAAAAATGAATCAGGGCCAGGCATTTCAACGGATTTACCTGGGGTTAATCAGCGTCTGCTAACGCGGATTCCACTTTATATTCTGTGAAGCACTTTGAGGCATCTCAATGACCCGATAAGACTCCATATCAAATGCAAGTATTATTTCCTATTATTTCTTATCAGCTCATTACAAACTGATGTGGATGGAAAGGCTGCCCAGTCTCTGCTGTTTGTTCCATTGTTAGTTCATGATTGTAGGAGGGAGACCAAATCAGTGAATGGTCATCTGTCTTTCCTCTGCATTGGTGAAAGACACATAGCATCCATCTTATAAATATTAAATGATTAACAATTTGTCTGAATTAACTTTGTGTTCTCAAATTATTGTTTTGAATGTTTGTAATATATAATTTTAGTGTATTTTCTCCCTAATTTTTCTCCCCTCTGGGATATGCCCCTGGTCCACCATCCCTAATGCTGGCGTACCATTCAGTGGACATGCATTGCCCTCCAATACTCTATTCAAGTAGGCTTTGTTCCTGCCTGAGTCTTGGCAGTGATTGTCAAAACCATTTGAGTGGAGGGCATCTTAGTCAAACCTGATCTCTCTTCATCAGCTTCCATACCCACACACCCTACAAGTAGAATGCTGCAGAAGAACCAGAATGATGAGTTCTATCTGTTTCTCCCCTTCGTTAGAATCCTCAGCTAAGACCTGTAAACTTAGCTTCTGGTCCATAAGATGCAACTCTGTCCACTATAACATTATTGGGGCTGCCCATATTTAAAAATATTCTGTACAAATGCTTCAGTTTGAAAAGATTCAATTTAGAAAAATGTTTGTCTGTGCCATTATTTTGCATTTGTGTTGAAATACATTCGAAATTTACGTTAAAATCTGCCCCTTTTTGCCAGGCAATTCGTGATGGTGTAATTGAGGCCAGCATTAACCATGAGAGAGGATATGTCCAATCTAAAGAGACCATTGACATTTATGGCACACGAGAGCCTCAGCTAGCTTTCCATCAGAGAATCTCCTTCTGTCTGGATATCCACAACATGTCTGTTAAGGTAAAGTGCACCCTAATAACCTTATAGTTTGACTTGATTTAATATGAGAGAGAAAAAAGTAGTAGGTGAATTCAAATTCATAGTTGTCCCAGGTAAACATTTTTCAAACATTGAAACAAAGAATTGTCTGTCAGAAAGCACATTCCATCTCGCCTTCTGTACATGATGAAGTCTTATTAGTTTTAAAGATGACTGTGTCCTGGTGTTGATTTCTTGTGTAATTTGTAATTTTTGTGTGGGAAATGCATCTTTCCTCACGTATATGTGGAGTACTGTAGCTCGGTGATTAGAGCATTCACCTCACAAGCGAGAGACTAGGGTTCAATTCCCGGCAGGATGAAATGTTGGTCAAGTTTCCTTACTCCACACACCTCTGTTTATCTAGCAGTAAGTAGGAACCAGTTTGTTAGTCGATTGGTGGATCACTTTTCTGGGGGGAATAATCCCTGATTTAATGTAAAATTTACAGTCTTTGAAAGGATGAAAAACTGCTACAAAAGTAATCCAGTGCTGATGAACAATTATGCTGTTGATATGAAGTTGAAAGAAATTTATTCTTGAGCATTTGAATATTGTCACTGTCACTAAGTGGTGATACCTTCCTAGATCACTTTCTCTCTATTTTGAGGCCACTTTGTTGTCTCCGGAAGTCAGTGAATACCTCTCAGCCGGTAAGATTTGTATCTCAGGAATTTTCAGCGATAAATATGACACTCTCGCAGACTTTACTGAATTATGCATTCATTCATGGTTATCATCAGTCAAGTTAGCAAGGCTTGAATACTACACTCCAGGTTTAAGCATATTTCATCAATAAGCAAACTATAGAGGAATCCTATTATACTCACACCTTTCTGCAAGCCTCCCTTATTGTACTCACTTTCAGTACAAGTCAAGGGTGTTTGCTTCAGGTAGCAAGCTCAATCAATCTCTTCCCTTAAGGCAGTCTTATGATCAGCGGGGGGTTCAACACTCACCATGCAGCTCGGATAGCTACCCCTTTGCCCTCAATTGCTTTAGGCAGATAGTTTAAATAGTGCGCCAAATTGCTGATTGGTTTAATTCTCTTCTGCATCATTAAGCAAGTTTCCTTACTCCACACGCCTGATAATAATCCCTCAACAAAAAAAAATAATTTGGTCACTTCAATCTATCACTGTTTGTGGGACGCTGCTGTGCGCAATTGGCTGCTGCGTTTCACCCACAAAATATATAGTCAATTCACTTCACAGTATATTCTGTGAAGTGCTTTGAGACAACTAGAAGACGTGAAAAGCACTATGCAAGGATTTCCAGACAGTTGAGCACTGTATGTGTACATGTACAGTCAATTCACTTTACAGTATATTCTATGAAGCTCTTTAAGATGTCTAGAAGACGTGAAAAATGCAAGGATTATTATATTATATAATAATGTAACCTCAATGTGAACGTAAAGACGTTTAAATGAAGCCAAGCATCCAGAGCTGTGCTGCTAGGCTTAAAAGGTCAGCCTTGACAAAATCTTATTGTATGAAATATAAATTATTTAGAGAAATGTTATATCTATCTCAAATCTTACCTGTGCATTTATACTTTGCAGGCAATGCGATTCCCACCCAAGTCATACAACAAAGATTTGGAATCAGCTGAGGTGAGGCTTCAATTGATGAATAGCTGCAGTTCCCCCAGTGATCTAATGAATAAATGCAGCTCTTGTCCATAAAGACAGAAGGTTTGAATTCTGATCTGCACTGAGTTCTGATCTAAGCGCTCCAAGATGTTTCGGCAGCTGTGCTTTCAGTCACTATGCCCTGAGACTCTGGAACTTTCTCCCTGAATCCCCTCCTTGCCTTGCCCCCTTCATGTCTATCTTCAGATCACACCTGAAGATGCGATCGTGCCTAAGATCACCTTCCCTCTCTCCCTGGCTCAGCATCAAGCTCCCCCAATCTTAAGTGCCGTGAGATGCTACCCCGCGCATGCAGGGCACTACATAAATGCAAGTTGTTGTATATCAACATGGATGTTTGATATAGAATAAATATCATCCCTTATAGGAGCGGCGAGAAAGGGAGCAACAAGATCTGGAATTTGCAAAAGAAATGGCAGAGGATGACGATGATGGATTCCCGTGATCTGGATCTGCATGATTATTGATTTAGAAGATTTTGAATTACTGTATCTAAAATCAGTAAACCTAAATAAACCAGAAACATGACATTAAACTATGATGGAAGTTCTTTTATGGACTCGTACATCTGTCAGCATGTTCTGAGAATGGATTTTTGAGCTTTTACTCTATTCAGGTTTGGTGTGTGTTTACCTGCTTTTATTTCTGTTTTCTTAAGAATAGTTCCCTTTTTGTCCCTTTAAAATTTGTAACCAATAACTTGCTGATGAAAATATGGCTAATAAAAACAATAACGCATATTGTGATCGTCTTCAATTTACAGCGATTTGATGTAATCATTTAGAATCATATACTGCGTCCATTTAGCCCACAGCCCCATGCACTTTGTTGGCTTTTCCTGTTCTCAAGATGGAGCGCTTGGTCCAATAATGTAATCTCGATATGAACGTTGAACATCAAGATCCTCCCACTCATGTACAATTTCATTCACTCCCTGGCACCTCCCTACCTCTCCAATCTCCTCACTCCCCAATCCACCACCCAGCGCCTCCGCTTGACTGGTACCGGCCTTCCTCCTGCTCGTCTCTCGCACCCTCCGCCCCACCATCGGAGGTCGCGCTTTCAGCCACCATGCCCCAAAATTCTGGAACACTCTCCCTCAATCCCTCCGCCTTGCCCCCTCCCTTTTTCAAGTCCCACCTGAAAACCTTCCTCTTTGACCGTGCTTATAGACACCTCCCCACCCACCGCGCTCCCCCCCCCCCCCCCCCCCCCCGGCTTGGAGTCAGGCTCTGACACTGTTATGCGTTCTGAGATGCTTCCTTGCGTAGAAAGTACTATATAAGTGCAAGCTGTTGTTGCCCCATACTTGTTCAAATTTTTCTTTCAGGTGCCTGTCTGCTTCCCTCTGGACTATACTTCTGCTACCTTACTTGGCAAGGCAACATCCCAACAACTCAGTGAAAAATAATTCTCCTAAATTCTCTTCTCTAGCTTGCATGGCCATCATATTTATTCCTATACCTAGAGGTAAACTCCTGATAAGACCCTGGCTTAACTTGTCACTACGACTTCAGTCGAGGACCGGGTCACGTCGCCTGGGTCTTGCGGTTGGGCTGGGTCCTGATACCTGGGCCTCGTAGGCAGACCTGGACATGTTGTTGCCTTTCCAGTGGGCCTGCCCATCATCTGAGCCAAGGTTGTCTGGATGTTGTGAGCGGGTCACCTGCGCCTCGTGGCTGAACCCAGTTGTCTTATGGTGGAGGGAGCAAAGTCCCATCTTGTCTGGGCCGAGTGCACCATATGTGCCAAGCAGGAGGAACGATCATCTGGGCCTCGTGGGCGGGCCGGGTCATATTTCCTGGGCATTATTGGTCAGCCCCGTTGTGTGGGCCTTGTGGCCGGGCTTTTCACCTAGAGCAATCCCGACGGGCCAGGTCTGCTGGGGCTTGAGGATGGGCCTGATTGTTCGGGCCAAGATGGGGTCATGTCGTCTGAGCCAAGCGACCCACTCACCTTGGCCTAACTGGTGAGTGAGGTCATGTGTGTGGACCAAGTGGCCTAGATCTAGACTTGATTGTGTCTTCTGGGCCTAGTGGGCGGGCTCACTTTGGTCATCTGGGGCAAGCCTGTTTGTCTGGATGGAGGTAATTTGAACCTATTGGTTGTTTTGCCTGTGCCTCGTGAGCAAGGCCACATGGGCTGGGTTGTGCCATTCTGAACCATTGGGTGGACCTGGTTTATTGTCTGGATCTAGTGAATCTAATTTGTGTCCTCTTGGGCCAAGAAGACAGGCTGGGTTGTGTTGTCGAGGCCTCGGTCTCCTTGCAGGCTTCCCCAGTCATCTGGACCCACCAGTCAGGCCCGTGGTCTGGGCCTTGTGGGCAGGTCCAATCGCCTGGGCTGAGCAGATGGGCCTGGTCATGTTGTCTGGGTCCAGAAGGGAGTGGAACATTTCATCAGGGCCAAATGGGTAGGTCAGACTTGTCATCTGAGCCAAGTGGGCGGATCATGTCATGTAGACTTCACGGTGTGGCCTAGTTATGTTTTCTGTGTCTCGTGATAATAATAATCCTTGCATTTAATATAGTGCCTTAACACATCATTGAAGTGTCTCAAAGCGATTCACAGAATATACTGCAAAGTGAATTGACTGTATTTTGCAAGGGAAACACTGCAGCCAATTGCGCACGGCAGTGTCCCACAGGTGTGAATTGAGTGACCAAATTAGTATTTTTTCAACCAGTCGACTGACATCCAGGTTCCTACTTACTGCTAGGTAATCAGAGGCGTGTGGAGTCAGGAAACTTGCTTAAAGCTCTGAAGAAAGACAAAGAGCCTGACCCAAATAGGAGGCTCGTGGCCAAGGCAGTGCGAGTGGTCACCAGGAAAAAGGACACTTTGAGAAACTGTTTGCGAGCATCCCTGTGTCTATGAAGCCCCCAATCATAAAAAGGGTCAGAGATGGAGGGACCAGGATCAAAGTGCCAAATAAAACATAAAGATGTCTCTGAAGATAGTTACCCTAAATATGTCTGGAAAACCAAGCATTGTGTTTTCACCTTACAGTATTTATCCAGGGTAACATCCTATTCCTGCAGGAGTGCACAATTCTGCACTTCGGCAGCTACAGGGCCTGGTTTCCCTAAGGACTCACTGCGTGGACCGGGGCAGCTCTAGGAGATAATAATAATAATAATAATAATTCTTGCATTTGATATAGCGCTTTTCACGTCGGGAGGACGTCCCAAAGCGCTTCACAGAATACACTGTAAAGTGAATTGACTGTATATTTGTGGGTGAACGCGGCAGCCAATTGCGCACAGCAATGTCCCACAAACAGTCGTAGATTGAAAATGACCACTTTATTATTGTTTTTGGTTTTGGAGGGATTATTATTAGGCTGTGTGTGGAGTAAGGAAACTTGCCCAAGGTTTCGCCCTCTGCCTGGAATTGAACTCAGGTCTCTCACTTGCAAAGCGAGTGCTCTAACCACTGAGCTCGAGGAGGTGAGGGAACAGTGTCCCAAGGCCTCTAAGGTTGTCTTCCGCTCCAGGTTCCGCTCCATCGAGAAGGACCTGTACTCGTGTTTCTTCTTCCAGCAACGATGCCTTTCACGTCGGAGGATGTCCCAAGGCTCTGGATAGTCAAGGATTTGGACCCGAGCTGGGTTTGGGATAAGAGGGGTGGGGGCAGGGAGGGTAGGGGTAGGAGGATGACCAAAGCCACAATCATAGAGGAGGGTCTTTGGACGGGCCTTGAAGGAAGAGAGGCAATGAGGCAGAGGCGCTCCGGGGTGGAGTTCCAGAAGGAGGGCACAGAAAGGCTAAAGGTCTGACTGCCAATGGTGGGCGAGATGGGGATATGGAGCAGGCTGGAACCCGCTCACCAGCTCAGCAGAGTGAATAGACAGGTTGGTGTGGGATTAGCAGGTCACAGAGGTATTAAGGAGCAAAGCCATGGGTTGCTTTGAAAGTGAGGACGAGATTTCTCTAGGGGATGGGGAGCCAGGCGAAGGTGGTTTTGATAGGGTGATGGAGCTTGGTGCGGGAGAAGACATGAGCTGCAATGATCTGAATGATCTGCAGATTGTGGAGAGAAGAATTGGAAAGGCTGACAAGCAGGAGTTAGCGTAGTTGAGCTTAGATGTAATGAATGCATGGATGAGGGTCTCGGTGGCCTGAATGGAGAATCAGTGGTGGAGCTAGGTGGTCAGGTGGGGGAAAGGCAGAACGGGTCATGGTATGGATGTAGGGTTTGAAGGTCGAACAAGACTTCAAGGTACTGTAGTGGCTCAGTGAGGTGCAGAGTGCATCTATGGATGGTGATGCTGTCAGTGCCCAAGGTGTAGACCAAAGACAGAGCCCTGAATAATGCCAAATGTGGCAGCACGGGGATTGGAGGAGAAGCCATTCAGGGCAAGGTTAGGAATGGTAAGATTTGAACCAGTCAAGCGCAGGACTGTAAATATTGAGCTGAGGAGAGCGGAGAAGGATAGAGTGGTCAAGAGATCCCTGGTCATGGATGGACAAAATGTTGTTTGTAACAATTGGAGGATTTTGTAGAGGGAGTGGTGGAAGAGAAAGGAGTGAAGATGGGAAGCAATGATTTGTTCCAGGACCTTAGAAAGGGAGGTTGGAATTGGGTGGGGGTACGCAAAGGGAGTAGTTCGACAGCAGGGATGGGTCCAGGGAAGGTTTTTTTGAGGATGGAGGTAAGGATGTCTGTGTTTAAGGGGAACAGTGCCAGTGGACAAGGAGTGGTTGATGATGTCTGTGAATAGAGGTGCAAGGAGGTGGAGCTGGGAGGTAAGCAGAGGGGTAGGGATGGGTCAAGGGAGCAGGTGGTTGTCTTGATTTTGGACATGATGGCAGTGAGAGAGGAGGGGGAGACAGGGTTAAAGGTGTGGAGGGAGGGATGGATAGGGGCCGGATAGGGGTGTGGGAATGAGGTAGTTGTAGAGAGACCCACATGAGTTACCTGGAGGATCATCAGCTCGGAAATGCCATTTGGCTCCGGAAACCTGATGGTCTCCAATGACACACAATGTGGGAGACGCTGCTGCAGGCTTGTGCTCTCCGATGTCTGAGACGCATTGCTGAAACTCGGCTCAGCCGCAGCCACTCCTGCACTAACCCCACGCGCCGGGATCCCTGCCCTGCAGGAGGAGGCATCAGGGGTGCTCACCGTGTAAGCCGCGAGCATCCCCAAGAATATAAATGTGCGCAAAATTGTGTGTATACAATGTCTTTGTAATGCTCGGCTTGTAACCAAAAAGTATTCCGACAATGTCTGTCTGTCTGTCTACAGGGCAGCGATATCTGCTTTATCTGCAGATAAAGGCACCAGAGCTACCAATGCCTCCACCTCAATGGAGGTGCAGAGTCTCCTCCAGCCACAGCGGTGCTTTGTTGCTCTGTATCTTATTGTGTATTTTGTGTTGCGATGGGTTTGGGTGTTTTGATCTTAAATGTGTGCCTATGGTCCAATACCAATGAATTGCATTTTCGTTTTGTCACTGGAATCTTTTTCTTTGGGACAAATGCAAACATATATTCTATTTATTAATTAATATACATTTTGTTTAAAAAGAACATTGCTGTAAGTTTTGGGGTTAGAGTTTGGCTTGCTAAGGGTTCAGCTGCTTGTGGAAATAAAAATATGAATACAATATCTCTGCTTCTGCTCGGGGATCTCAGGCTAGACTCAGACTAGCCAAAGATCTGTGTTCATATTACTGCACAACGGCAATAACTGATTGGCCTTGCCTCCGCTGGGAAGATTACTGCTTTGCCTCCAA